CGCCGCCGCCGCCGCCGCGCAGCACGTCCGAGTCGAGCGTGAGGCGGATGGCGGGGAAGTGGTAGCGCATGCCCATCAGCTGGAAGAAGTAGTGCGAGCCAAAGTAGGTGCCCCAGCACACGACGATGAACACCCAGAGGTTGAGCTTGAGCCAATGCTGGGCGAGGAGAGGAGGCCGGCGGGCAGTTTTGGGGCGAGCGACGAGGGCGGGCACAACGAGGGCGGGCAAGGCGACGCCGGTCGAGAAGAGCAGCAGTTCGCGGTCGGCCCAGGTGGCCAAGCGGCCGGTAAGCATCACCCAGCCCACGGCGGCCATCCAGAGCGGGCTCTGCAGGAGGACGGCCCGCTCGGTCAAGGCCTTTTCTGCCGCTAGTAGGCGCTGGTCGGCCGTCGTGGCGCGCGCCGTCATTGTTGCAGCTTTCGCGTTGGCGGCGATTGTCGTGTGCGGTATGCTGGGGCTGGGTCTAGGAGCTGGAGTGGGCGCATGTCGTCAGCTAGGGGAGTTTTGTTCCAGTAGTTAGGCAGGCTGCTGTTAGGGGCACGCATGGTGGGGGCTAGGGGCGCAGTCTCCTGTTTTTGGCCATCAGGCGACATTGACACATTCTAGCCCCGCACAGCGCTCGATACTCTGGGGAAAACACATGTAATTATTACAAGATGGACAGGACGGTTGGGTATTGCGACATTGAATACATGATTGATGAGCTCCGAACCAGCGAAAACGTGCTAACGAAAATAAAAAAATAAAGAAAAAACCATTCAAGACAGGTGCTTCATTTCCAAGCAGCCAGTCCTCATACCTTGACGACATTAGGCGCCCTGAGTCGGCTGGGTGTCGAAACACTTGGGCTCCTCGTAGGTAGAGTAGATGCCTTTGCAGGAATCGGCGTGGTCGACCGTTTGGGAATCGGCGTGGTCGATCGTTTGGGAACCGATGTGGCCGAGCCCCTGGGAGTCGGCGTGGTCACCTTCCGCTGAGCCGGCGCGGCCGGCTGGCAAGCAGGCCGCGCGCAGCCAGGCCGGGGCAGCGCCGTGACCTTGCGGGCCGGGGCGGCGGTGGCCGTGGGAGGCTTGATGCGAGAGGCGGCGGGCTGCGGCAGCTGACGCCTAGGCACGGCGGCCTTGGGGTCGACCGTGCCGGACTTGGCGACAGCTCCCGGCCCGCCGTCCGAGCCCCACGCGGCACTAATCCACTGCCTGCTCGCGATGATGGCCTCGGCGAACTCGCGCGTCATCTCGCCGGTGCGGAAGAAGACGTCAAACTCGTGCGTCCTGAGCGCGTTGGTCGCGCGCCGCATGATCTCCGTCCGCGCCTCGGGCTCCAGGCGCTCGGCGGTGCAGATCACCATGGACCGGGCCTTGACGCAGCGGTCGCCCATCGGGACGGAGATGACCTCGGCGGTCTGGCCGATAACGGGACTTACCTCTTTGGCGATGGCTGCCAGCATCTTCTTCTCGTCCTCCCGCATCTCGTAGTTGTCGCACCCGGTTATTGGGATGGTGTGCTCCATGATCACCTCCCCGACCATCTCCGCCAGGATCTTTGCCTCGGGAGTTGCAATTGCAGCAGCCATGGTTGCGGTAAGGAACGAGTCGAGGTGCGGAAGTGGACGAGTCGGGAAAACTTACGGGTATGGTGAAGCTGTCAAGGATGTGTGTTGGGTGTGTTTTGACAGCTCGGTGCTGATACCGAATAGGAGAAGGGGGAAGTGCTGGGGGTAGAATCGGCCGTTTTATATTGAGTGCTTCCTCTATGCATACAAACGTTGAAGGCACGATTGTCCTCCAAATATCCCAAAGGAACAAAGCATCCTACTGAAGCGGACAGGACGACAAAAGAAAAGGAAGAAAGCATCGTGATTGAGAGACACATATTAATGCCATTCTTTGGCGCCGGCTTTGTGGTCCTCTTGTGGGGAGATCGGGCTAAGAGATTCGCCCTTTTTTTTTTTTTGCTTGAAGCCGCAAGAGCGTTGAGTGACGGTTCCCGCATATGCCAGAACCCAAACGGCCATGTGCGTTGGTTAATTAATTATGGGATGGAATAACAACAGCCGTCAGCATTGTATATCGGCCTGGACCAATGGGGCAGTACCGTCGTGCTGACGGGCGCGGAATTATATCCAAAGCTAGACCGGAGCGAAGGGCAATGTTTTGGTTATCGGCGGTAAAATCTATCGCTTTCCCTAGAAAGAAACTATGTGATTGGAACAGAAGTTGCTACGTTGAAAGGGTGCAAGCAATCCTGGCAAGCCTTTGACCTAGTCGACCTCCAAGTTAATAGCAACAGGCAAATTGGGACACTTGGAGTCATTTTGCCACACGGCTTTGAAGCGCACAAAGACCAACTGCTTGGCGCCGTGGTGCAACAAAACCACAGTCCAGCCCAGCCAGCTGGCGGCCTCATGTTGCTACCCCGGCTCGCGCCCGGGCGTCGTGCAGCACCGTCTCGGAAGCGCGACCAGCCGGGTGGCCAGTGGCTGTGCTGCCGGGCGCGGTCCAGCCAAGCGACAGGGCCAAGCCAGCGCACCCGCCCTTCCGTTCCCACATAGCTGCCAATTTTCCCCAAGGCGAGCCGCGTTAGCGCCCAGCAGAGTTGGCGGCAGAAGACTGGCTGGGTGCCCAAAGAAGGATTTGACGGCCCAAAAATAGCGTTCGAGCCAAGCAGGGGAGAGAGGGTGGGGGATGCAGGTCATGATAGGCGGCGATTGGAAGTCGGCAATGTCGATTTGACGAGCCAATTACCCATGCTCTTGGGAATGGCATTGCTGGCACTCGTCCCCCGTCGACTCCTTTGTTTCCGCATTGGCATCTTGCGGGGGTATTTGTACAGCCCTAGCTTGCCCTCCCACCGGTTTCATCTTGCTTCCTTCTAGCTTGCTTCTTCTTTCCTCAGCTTTTCTTTTTTATCGTGCTCGCTGCTTTTCTCCCTTCTGACAGTCTTCTATTCCACCCTAATACACACTATCGATCCCTTTGCTTAAACTAAACCCGCCCATCCTCTACTCCCTTCATTCCCTTTCACCAACATCCCCAACGCAATGAAGAGTCGACTCTTCGTCCGCACACAGCCCAGTCGGCCCATCTCCCCTGGCGGCGACAGGAGGCCAAGCCCACCAGCGGTGCCGTCGAGCCCACCAGACTCTACCGGCAGCGCGGGGAGCTCGGCGGGGCCGGCTGGGGCGCACGAGATCGTGTTCCCAAAGGTCTTCGAGGAGGCCTGGGGCACGGGCAGCCTGGACGGACGGACGGACCTGGAGCGGGCGCGCATCTTCCTGATGCGCTTCGCCACCATTAGCGCCGGCAACCGCGCCCTCGCCACCGACCTGCGCGCCATCGCCGCCGACCAGGCCTGCCGCTGCATCCCGGACCTGGCCGCCGCCGTGCAGGCCCAGTTCTTCGGCGCCCGCCACGACGGCTTCGCCACCACGCCGCTGATGCAGGCCGTCCGCTTCCTGCTCATCAAGGGCCACGTGCCCGAGGCCGTCGCCGGCCAGGTCCACGGCCACGTTCCTGTTCCCGTCCTCGCCGACCGCGCCCAGGCCGCCGCCCTGCTCGACTTCTTCTTCGACCCCGTCCTGGCCCGCTCGCTCGATCCGCCCCCGCCCGACGGCGTGCGCTACCGCTACCCGGCCGCGCGCCTAAAGGTCGCCATCGTCGGCGGCGGGCCCACCGCGCTCGCCTCGGCCATCTCGCTCGCCGAAAAGGGCGCCGGCCGCGTCGAGGTCCACGTCTGGGAGCGCCGCTGGGTGCAGACCACGGCGCCCGACGGCGTCTCCCCGTGGTTCGGCTACCCGCCGACGGCCCGCCGGCGCGACCAGGTCGTGACCCTGCAGGAGTCGGTCACGCGCCTGCTCAGCCCGGGGTCGCTGCAGGCCCTGTTCGAGGGCCGGCCCGAGGCCGTCTGGCCTGGCTCGGCCAACATCCAGATCCGCAAGGTCGAGGACCGCTTCCTGCGCCGCTGCCAGTCGCACGAGTTCAGGGGGCTGATCCACCTGCACGCCGAGACCGCCACGCGCGAGTCGCTCGCGTCGGGCCGCCTGGGCGACTTCCACGTCCTGTTGGGCGCCGACGGCGCTGCTTCGTGGGTCCGCAAGTCCTACTTCCACGGCGTCGAGCACGAGCGCGGCCGCAGCTACGCGCTGGGACTGGCCTTTGACCGCCCCGCGGGCCTGCCCTGGTCCCAGCCGCTCAACGTGTTTTTGACGCTCGGCCAGACCCGTTACCTGCTCAACGCGAGCGACCACGACGGCCGCGGCTACCTCAACATGCAGCTGACCGAAGACGAGTGGCACCGCATGGTCGGGCTGGACGGCGAGCCCGTCACGTTTGGCCACCCGGGCTGCCTGCGCCGCAAGGACGGCTCCATCCCGGACGGCTTCACCGAGGGCCAGGTATTCGCGCCGGCCGAGGACCGCGAGAGCCCGCTCTGGAAGTCGATCGAGGACGGGCTCAAGCTGTTCGGGTTCAAGGAGGGCGAGGTCATCAACGTGGTGCGCATCCCCATCGTGGTGCAGGCCGTCAAAGAGGGCGTGCAGATGCTGCCGCCGGCCGAGGCGCCGTCGATCCGACGACCGCACGCGCTGGTGGCCGTGGCGGGCGACGCGGCCATGACGGTGCACTTCTGGCCGGGCCGCGGGCTCAACAGCGGCATCAAGTCGGGCATCGCGCTGGGCGACGAGATCGTGGCCTCGCTCAACGACGGCCGCTTCGTGGGCCTGTCGCCCAGCGCCATGGACGAGTACAACGCCTTCATCATGAAGCTGCAGGACCGCGAGCACGACAAGCGCAGCATCCCCATCCTCAACCAGTCCGGCTCGCCCGAGATGCTGGGCTGGCTGCTGTCCAAGGCCGGGTCCGTGCCGGACGAGGTGGCCGTCGAGTGGCTGGTCGGCGCCATGGCCCAGATCGCCGCCCGCCTCGAGGCCCGGCCCGACTGGGCCTTTGCGCCCGTCGCAAACGTCGAGCCGCAGCTGCGCATCGTGCTGCGCCAGCTGCACCCGCTGACCCTGCGCGAGATGGCCGTCAGCTTCCCCTGGCCCACGCGCGAGATGGGCGGCGCCGAGGTCCTGCCCGTACGTTCCATGCGGCCCGAGGAGAAGCAGCGCTGGGTCGCGTCGCTGTGGAACATGCTGCGTGACGAGCGTAAGAAGGAGCGCGCCGGCGTCGACGCCGAAGTCAGGGCGGCGCGGTTCGAGGCGCCTCGGCAGCCGCGGGGCGGGTCTCTGCTGCCACCGCCGCCGTCGCCGGGCCAGCATCCCCCGCGCTCCCCGACACCGCCCGAGGGGACACCACTACCACGACGTGGCTCTGCCGACGCGTCGCCTCCCGAGCGGGCGGGCACCCTGCGGAGAAGCAACGCCACCAAGGCAGGAGGCGGCAGCGTCCGGGGACACGGGCAGCGGCAGCAGGACCTCGGCGTGCCAGGCCTCAGCGGTGCGCCCCGGAGGCACTCGAGGTCTGCGTCCAGCGTCAGCAGCCTCTCCGACTTTGGCCTGGCGGTTCCGGGGCCCGAAAGCCAGGCCAGCAGCTTGAGATCGCCGTCGCCGGGCCCCGCCCCGTCAGGCGACATGCAGCTTGGCAGGCTGCTTAGCGTGCACCGGAGGCCACAGGGCACGATGCTGACGGATGCCCTGTCTTTGGCGCTCTTCCGCGTGGACGCGACCGATTAAACTAGATTGTAGCTCACGTTGATGACTTGATGATTTATGCGATACGACATCTAAGGACAAATAACTATATAATTTCTTTCGTTTGGCCTCCGACTGCTTCTTTGGTGTGCCGACATGTCGAATGTCCAGTGTAAGCCCATATTGCCATTTGCTACCTCCATCGGCCAGTTAATTACATGCACCACTTATTCCCACTGCAGTTGCCCATATCCGCGAGCACCCTCCCTACTTGGCGTATCCAAGACGTCCAAGCCAGCCTTTCTGAACCTACCTCCCCCTCGTCGCAAAATCCACACCCGGTTCAATGCAGCCCGCGCGTTTGGCGAACACGCGGCTGATACCGACTAGCTCACCCTCCAGGCCCGCCGGAAGAGACATGTTCGAGTCGACAAATATGTCGCCCTCGATATACGCCAGGCTCAGGTTCAGCCCAGGATAGGCCGCCGTCCTCTCCAGAAAGAGGCGCGAGATTTCGTCCACCTGACCCGGCACCAGGAGTCCCTTTGAAAAACGGATGGGAAGCTTGATGCTGGGAAGTTTCCGCTCGGTTAGAAAGGCGAGCACGGCCTCATCATCAGGAGCTTGGGGCTCAACTTGGGAGGGCTCACCTGGGGATGGCGCACCTGGGGAGGGCGCACCCTGGAAGAGATCACCCTGGAAGATATCACCTGGGGAGGGCGCATCCTGGAAGAGATCGCCCTGGAAGAGATCGCCCTGGAAGATATCACCTGGGGAGGGCTCACCCTCAGCCTGGTAGGGCCCAACTTGGGAGGGCTCACCTGGGACGTGGGCTCCTATGCCTTCGGGTCGAGTGCCGACGTGCTGCTGGATAGCGCCCAACAGCAGTTGTGCCTCGTTGCTGGTCAGCTCCAGTTGCCCTGAGGCCCGTGCTACGCTGTTGCCAGAAGACATGGCGACAGCGTGGTGGACGGCAAGCTTCCGCGTGATAAAAGCCCTGGAGTGAAGTGGTAGTGACAACTCTGACAGGAGGTGTTGTTGGGCTGGGCGCTATTGGGCTAGGTGCTGCGAGTGAACAGTTGCGAAGCAAAGCGTAAGCATCTGTCGATTAATAGTTTGGGTACTGGTAGGCTACCTATGGAAATGTGGCGCATTGTTCTCACACAACAAACAAATCGGTGTGTGCAGGTACGTATATTCCAAAGGCCCGCTGTCATATTGTACTCGAGACCACCACCTGGAGCTGTCGACCATTTCGGAGAAAATCTGGAAAGCCCTGTCTGGAACGGCCGGACGGGAGCGCAACGTTTAGCCCAAAAAGGGTCTTCCACCATTATCAAATGCACCACCACTGCACCTCGCACTATCGAGCGCACCCTGGCCTGTCTGCCTTGGGGTTTGACACGTCGGTTAGCTGCCAACATCGTTGCGACAGGTGGGTGGCCTGTCGTGTGGGAAGGGCGATTAGCCCAGTGTGATGTTGTGGTAGCTTGGGTTGAAAACGAGAAATCCCTTGGCCTCTAGCAGGTGCGGCTGAAAGCATACAACCCTTAGGGCAAGCGGGCGCTCAGGGGCAGTCTTGGCACTCGCTTCCTGGACCACATCTCGCCGCACTAGCTCAGCCGCTCCCAGGGTCACGGTCTAGAACGCGGGATCTCGAGCCCCGCGGCGCAAAAAGTCGCGCTGCACCTGCGTCCAGCCGCATCCTGCGGCCAATCGCCGTGAGGTCCCTTACATCCCCGGCGCCAACGCCAGGGGCATGTTCGTGCCGGAGCTGTAGCTCCCGTCATGGCCAGAGGCCGCCCGTCAATGCTCGACATCCAGCTGAGCGGGCGCGCGATGGGGCTTAAAACGGGAGATGCCCAGCCATATCTGCCCGTCTCGGCAGGCCAAGCTTCGTCTCTCCGCAGATCCCGCACTTGGCTCGACTCTTGGTAGCCCTTGGGTAGCCCATCGTCTCTTACGCACACGCAACTACTCTCGACAACGCCGCCGCACATCATGACGCGCCTGTTCGCCTCGCTCGGCCTGGCATTGGTCTGCCTTTCTGCCGCCGCCAATGCCGCCAACAACATCTTCGCCGCCTTTAACGGGAACTGCGGGAAGTGCCTCGACCAGGCCTACCTCTCCTGCCCTGGGGACTACATGACGCTAGGGTTCGCGACGGTTGGTGGCTACAGATTCCCTTTGAGGCTCTACCTTGCTCTAACAAACATGGGCGCGACTTTTAGTGCATGTGCGCAGGCAAGGGCGGCGCAAACGTCAACACCTGCCTCAGCTACTGCGACGTGAGCCTGAACGAACCGACCAACGTGGTCAACGCGTTGTACATGTACTGCGCCATCTTCTTTGCCAAGGATGTGTGCCCGGCTGCAGCCCAGGTTTTCAGCCAAAGCACGATGGATAGGCTGTGCAGTCCCGACGCGGTCGCCAAGAGCGAGGCCTTTCTCAACTCTCTTGGCGGGTCAGGATCTGGCGCTGGGACTGGTTCTGGTTCTGGGGCAGGTTCTGGGACGGGTACTGGAACGGGTACTGGAGCTGGCAGCGGTTCTGGCTCTGGCTCTGGCTCTGGCTCTGGCGCGTCGGTGCCAGGAGTGGCGGGAGACAGGTAAGCCGAGACACATCCGTGATTAAAGACAAAGCAACATACACTGACGCAACACAGCACTGGAAATGCAGGCGGAGCCAAGGCCACCGGGGCGGGAGCCAACGTGGGCGCAACATCGACGAGCAAGGCGCTTGCTGCCACGGCGATGCCATTGTCAGGGCTGGGTGTCATGGCAGGACTTGGTATGGCCCTTGTTAATGTGGGCCTGTAGCAGTCTTGGCAGGAATTCGTGTCCGCGGGAAAAGTGTATGATGGGTATCGGGCTTGATAACATTTAATGGTGTTGGACGCGTGGTGTCTGTACTTGAATATACGGCATTGTCTGTTATAGTCTATCCATGCAAGGAATCGCTTGCGAAGATCGATTATTTGGCGGTGACCCGGTAGGGCTGAACTCAAGGCCTATGGCGGGGTTTGTGCCCTTCATGCCAGTGCAAACGCCCTTGTCGCCCACATCTGGCATAGTATCAACGAGATGGCGACACCGCTGACTCGTCAACCGGCCAGGGCACACGGCGGCACGGCGTGGCCTTGGTAGCACATCATGATTCATCGACGCCGAGCTCCACCGCCGGGCTTGGGACGGTGACCCCTGGCGATTACTTGCAGTGAGGCCTTGAAACGCTGCCCTGCCCCCGATTCTCAGCACGCTTCTGCCGTGGTGATACCTAAAATGCCGGCGTCTCTCCTTTGTGGCATCAGAACTGATACATTCCACACATGACAGACAACATTACATGCAAGCGCCATGGAACAACCACAAGGATTTTTCCGCCTGAGCATTGAGCTCCGCGAGGCCATCTACCGACTCGTCCTGTTGGACGAGCAGCCTCTGTGGGCCAGGAGACACGCGGCGTCATGTCCCCAAAGTCCCCGCGACGCCACGACGTGGGAGAGCCCGCCATGGGCCGTGTGGCAATTCCCCGGTCAGAGCCGCCCGACCACGTTTGACTGCTGCCGGTGCGTCGCGCGCACGGGGCTGGGCCTTCTCTTGACCTGCCGGCAGGCGCATGCTGAGGCCGCGCCCGTCTTCTGGGGCAAGAACGTGCACTGCTTCGCCGACATGCCGCAGCTCCTCGGCGACATGGGCGAGCGCATGCGGCCCGAGTCGCGCGCGCTGCTGCGCCACGTGAGCGTTGCCATTTTCGACGACAACAAGTCCCGCTTCGCCAGGCACACGCTCGACGTCTGGCCCGTCCTGTCGGCGTGCCGCGCGCTCGAGACGCTCGAGCTCGACCTGGAGCAGGCCCGCGGCGGCGTCAACGTCACGCCCGCCAAGCTGGTCAGCGACCTGCTCGAGGACCACCGCACCGCCTTGGGCCTGGGCGGTCGCAGGCCGGCCAAGGCCAAGCTGCCCAACTTTCGGCGCCTGAGCATCGCAAAGGTGCTTCAGTACCACGTCGCGGCGGCGGACTACGAGGAGAGCGACAGGGTGGAGATACTGCACGTCAAGTACTCACAGCCGCTGGACCTGGATGCGGCGCGGGACCGGGACACGACGGTGCGTGCGCTGACGGCGTTTGAGGGGCGGTTCCTGCCCGAGGCCCGGGCCGCCGTCGGCAGTCAGGTGCTGGACCCGTCGCGCCAAACCTGGCAGGGGCCCACACCCGTGTGCTTCCTGGGCCGGGCCCTGGACGACCGGCGGTATGCGGTGCGGCTGCGGCTCCGCGAAGGCTCGGATGAGACGACCGAGGTCCAGTTCTTCGGGACGCCGCTCAGCGTCGAGACGCTGAGGGAGCATGAGGAAGAAAGGGCGAGGGAGGCGGCATACAGAAAGGCGCATGGGCTTCTTACCGTGGAGGAGGAACGGGCCAGGAGGGGGGTGGAAAAGGAGGAGCGGATACGCAAGAGGGTCGAGCTGGAAAGGAAGATGGAGGGGGCAAAGGAGCTCCGGAAGAAAGAGAGAAAGCGTGTCATGCCAGCACGTGGAGGGCAAAGTGGCGGAGACTAGCGGCTTAGATTCGCTTGCTTTGAGCCTTTGTCTATTTTTATTCAACCCGTTTCTAGCGCTATTATGACGACTGTTAGCTCGTCATTTTCTCGTACCCTTCGGAACCGCGACAGTACACAGTATTATCGCAAAGAGCCATAAATCGGTTTGTGGGCTGGTTTGTCCTAGTCCTTCCAGGTAAGCAATACCCAAACAGGACATATCCGTCTCGAGGCCAACACGAGCGAGGGATAGCTCAGCCAGTGTAATGCGAGCGGCCAAGGGCTGACGCCAAGCTGTGCCTCAGAATTCCGACGACATCCAACCTCACTGGGTGCGGTAGCCATTAACCACCCGTTGACTCACGCAGGCAGCCGTCGACCCCCCTTTATTCTCGCGCGATTCCAACACCACCGCCAGCTGTGGCGTCGGCCAGCGTCCGATACCGACTGTTGGAGCGGGCGCTAGGAGCCCGGGCGCAGGCGCCAGTGCCATGACGGCTCGTATCGAGGCCAGCCACGTGCGACACGCTAGCGAACAACACACCATCTCGCAAGCCACTCGGGAGTGCAGAGGATGGAGGGTCGGGCGCGAACACGAGGGGCTCGCGACTTGGCCATAAATACAAGCACCCAGGACTTGCTTCGGCTGACGACAGCTCGATACTGGCAAGATCCTGCCGGGTACTCCTCCCATGTCTATCATTCGTTTGTAGCTCTTGCCTGGGTACTCCTCTCACGCCTGCCCTTCGTTTGTCGCTCTTTATAGAGGCTGCGACCTCGCTCACTCGCTCAAACACGTTCTTTCTTATCGTAGAGCCCTTGCTACCCCCTTGATACCTTCTTGTCAGGATGCGCGCCAGCCTTCTCGCCGTCTCCGCCGCCCTCCTCGCCCTCCCGGGCCTCGCGTTTGGGGCCCGGGTGAGCCAAGAGGGCAACTGCGGAGGCAAGAGGGGCCCGACCTGTCTCGGGTCCGAGTTTGGAGACTGCTGCTCGCAGTACGGCTGGTGCGGAAGTGTAAGTGCCAAGCATGGGGCCATGGGCCGCACTCGTCCTAGACCGGACCACCTCTAACAAAGCAGCAGACGAGCGCGTATTGCGACGCTGGCTGCCAGCCCGGGTTCGGCAAGTGCAATGGCCAAGGCCAGGGCTCGTCGTCGTCGACGAGCCCTTCGGGAACCACCACCAAGACGACCGCCAAGACGACGGCGGCAACCACCACCACGGCGCGTAGCACCAACACCAACGACTTGCCCATCACCAACACCCGCAGCAGCACGGGGACAAAGACGGCCACCTCGACCAGCTCCAGCGCATCAGCCTCGGCCACGTTCGCGTCCATCCTGGACTGCCTGACGGCCAAGAAGCTGCAGTTCAGCTCGCCCAACTCGCCCAGCTACCCGCAGCTGTCCAAGCCGTACAACCTGCGCCTGCCCTGGAAGCCGCTCGTCATCGTGCTCGGCACCTCGGTCCAGGACGTCCAGGGCGCCGTCGCCTGCGCCGCACTCTTCAAGGTCAAGGTGCAGGCGCGCAGCGGCGGGCACTCGTACGCGGCCTTTGCGCAGGGCGGGCAGGACGGCTCGCTGGTGGTGGACCTAGCGGGCCTGCAGACCGTTAGCGTCGACGCTTCCTCGGGCGTCGCGAGCGTCGGCGGCGGCGTCCGGCTCGGCAACCTCGCGTCGGCGCTGTACGCGCAGGGCCAGCGGGCCGTGTCGCACGGCACGTGCCCCGGCGTCGGCATCGGCGGTCACTTTACGCACGGCGGCTTCGGCTACAGCTCGCGCGCGTGGGGGCTTGCGCTCGACTCCATCGTGGCGCTGGACGTGGTGCTGGCCAACGGCACGGCGGTTAAGGCCAGCGCGGCGGCCAATGCGGACCTGTTTTACGCGCTGCGCGGCGCGGCCGAGTCGTTCGGCATCGTCACGGCCTTCCACCTCGCCACGCAGCCCGCGCCCGGGCCGGTCATCAACTGGTCCGTCCAGCTGCCCGACATGTTCTCGTCGGCCGACAGGGGGGCGCGCGCGCTGCTGCACGTGCAGGACTTTGCGCGCAACGCGTCCGTCGTCGACGCCAACCTCGGGCTCGGCATCTACATGGACGGCGAGACCTTTAGCATCAGCGGCACCTACTTTGGGCCCCGCAGCCGCTTCGACGGCGTCATCAAGCCCGAGCTGCTGCGCGGGCTGGGCGCCGCGCCGTCGGGCCAGAGCACCGAGGCGGTCGACTGGATCACCAGCCTGACCCAGCTGGGCGGCGGGGGCCCGCTGGCGCAGCCGACCGAGGCGGGCGCGTACGACGAGCACGACACGTTCCTGGCAAAGTCGCTGACGGTGCCCGAGGCGTCGCCGCTGACGCCCGCGGCGGCCCGGGCGTACTTTCAACGCATCATCTCGAGCGCCGCCTCTGTCGGGCAGGCCGGCGGCAGCTGGTTCACCATCATTAACCTGTACGGCGGGCCCGGCTCGCGCATTAACGCCGTGTCGGCCTCGGCCAGCGCCTACTCGCACCGCTCGACGCTGTGGGTGTTCCAAAATTACGGCTCCACGGGCACCGCGGGAGGGCCCAGCTTCCCGGCGGCCATCGGCACGTACCTCCAGGGGCTGGGCGACGCCATCAGGTCGGCCATGCCGGGCGTCGAGTTTGCGGGTTACAGCAACTACGTCGACCCGACGCTGTCGGCGGCCCAGGCACACGATCAGTACTATGGCGCCTCGACGTATGCGAAACTTCTGGGGTTGAAGAGCGCGTTTGATCCGCAGGGCCTGTTCTGGAACCCGCAAGCGATTGGCGCTTAGGGGGACCTTTAATGTTATTCAGTAATGCTTATTAGATACTGCTACGATGCATATGCATAGTAATGCCAAAATGTAACTCCCAACTCGTCCCATTATCCGCTCCCATTAACTTAGAGTGAACTCGACGGTTGTGTCGCTACCCAGCCTTCCCACAACCCTCCCCTTGGACCCTGGCGGCAACAGAATACATCCGTTCACAGACCCCGGCGTGATTACAGTGCCGGCCTTGAGCGGCATGTCTGGGTGCTGCGCGCGCGCGTAGGCCACGACCGAGGTCAGCACCGCGCCGAACCCCGGTTTGGCCATCCTTTTGTCGAGCACGCGCCCGTCGAGCTCGAACGAGACCTCAAGGCCGTCTACGTCCGTCCCCCGCGCAAACTCCCCGCCAAAGACGTAGCCGAGCGCCGAGAGGTTATCGGCCAGCCCCGCGGCGGGGCCAAGCTGCTTCCCGGCCGTGGGCTCCCCCAGCCGCGTGCCGACGATCTCGATGCCCACAAAGTACGACGCCACCGCCGATGCCACCGCCGCCTCGTCGACGCCCTCGCCCGCGGGGACGTCACGGCCCAGCCGGACGCCGACCTCGAACTCGAGCCCCTTGACGGCGTAGGACGCGGTCGGAAGGCAAAAGTCCGGGCTGGTCCCGACGCGCGACCGCCAGATCGGGGCGATGATGCCGGTGCCGTCGGGCTGCATCAGCGAAGTCTTGTAGAGCCCGACCTCCTCGCCCAGCGCCTCCTGCTGCGCGAGCATGACGCGGTAGGCGCCGGCGCGGTCCAGGCCGGCCAGGGCTGCGGGGTCTATCTTGGAGTGACCGCCGGCGCGCTGGGCCTGGACGAGCAGGCGAACTGCCTCGTCTTCGTTTGCGTGTGCCATTTTGCTGGGGTTTGGATCCGTCGTTGGGTCTGAGTTTTTTTGCGAGTGTTTGCTCGTTTCTAAACAGGACAGGATTCTGATGGAGCCGGACACCAGTCAAAGTCGAGTCGAGGTCCTTTCGCGCAAAGTTATTACTCATACACCCGGACCGCAGTCGGCGCCAGACGGTGACTGTTTAAATACCGCAGTCACCCGACGAGCCCCTCCCCACCTCGCACCGCCTGTCCCACCGGCTGGGTCCCATGTTGGGCCGGCCCGCTGGCCGTGGGATTCTCCGTCGAGCCTTGGCCCGCGATGCAGGCCACAGACGTGCCGGCCCCGACACGGCGCTGCGCCGCAGAGAAATCCCACCACTCACAACGTCGCGCGCCCCGGGCCAGCGTCACTGCCGCCCTCGCCTGTGTGCGCCGCCAGTCCCGATTTACTGGCCGCGGGCTCGCATCGAGGCACAAGAGTGGGCTAGCTGGTAATCATGCGGGTAGCCGTCGAGAAGGCATGGGCTGATTTCCTACCCGGCCGCGCGCTCGGGAGCTGAAGACCCCTGCGTCGGCCACGGCAGATCTGCGAGATCTCCATGCTTTGGGGGCTGGGAGCGGTGGTGTTGCGCTGTTTGACGCTTGCTTATCGCCCGTCTCTCCAGGCGAGGGTACCACGCGGGACGTGACACTGCTCGGGTGCGTGTAGCTCATAGGAGGACAGGGCAGGCTTTTATCCGCCCTGCACTGGCTGGCCGGTCCAGGTTTCAACCAAATTCCTCAACCTCCTGCACCCCATCAATCCCGCCTGGCCAAGCCGACAGTACACACTGCCGACAACAACAAAGATGTAAGCTTATTCTTGGACCTCGCCCGGGATTCGCATCCTCCTGGCAAATTGCGCGACAGCACAGCCAACAGCGCTACCAGGCCACCCACCATCACAGCGCTACTCGCGGACCAGCTCAATGATCGACGGCCCATACATGGCCTTATTGGCAGCACGCCCCTGGCAGGCGCAGCAGGGAGGCGCGGGCCAAGAAGCTGTTGGTTCTGAATGCCGTGCCCCCAGGCGTGGTCGCCAGGCTGGATCCTGAAAGGCGCCGAGCCGTACAAGAGCAGCGCGACAGCCCTACCCGTTCTCTGCATTTTCGTTTCTTTCCCCTCCTCGATGCGGTGCAGTTGTCGCGGCGCCTCACCTCATCCCACACAGCCCCAACCCCCCCGCACTCTTCCTCCAGCATCCAGACCCGTCGACAGGATGGACGTCACGACGGTCCAGCTCGCCCCGGAGCAGGCGCTACAGGCCAAGGAGCAAATGGCCCACCTGGCGCAGCCGATGCCCGCGCCGCAGACCAAGCTGCTCGGCATCTGCGCCGACAAGGTCGGGCACGACGGCATCAGCCTGGTGGTGCGCGAGACGAAACGGAGCAAGCGCTACGAGGTCCTCGAGGCCGGGACCAAGCGCAAGCTGCTGCAGATCAAGACCAACTTCTTCACAATGCGCATGCGTAAGGAGGTCTGGGACGTCCAGGACAAGGACCAGCCGCGCCACCTGTTCGACATGGCCTACGACTACTCGGGCCTCAAACGCGGAGATCTGCTCACCTCGTTCGCCATCCACTACCCCAAGAAGAAGAAGGACCAGAAGAAGGAGGTGCTCGACGACGACGAGTCGGAGGACCAGGACCCCGAGAATGGGGAAAAGATTGTCGACATTAAAGGCAACTTTAAGCGCAAGTTTTCCCACCCTGCGCTGTCATTAAAACCCTGCATTCTCCAGGGGCTAACGAGAATCTCCAAAGGCCAGTCGTCGGCTCAAAGTCGACCGTCAAGTTCATGAGCCCCCTGACGGGCGGGTGGGAGGAGTGTCTCGAGATGGGTGGCAACATGGGCGCCTTCAAGGGCGAGGTGACGGACACGACGGCCGACAATAAGGTCGTCGCCCGGTTCGAGCGCGACTATGGCGTCCGGGACTTCATCCTGGCCAAGCAACAGTACAAAGTCTCGGTCGAGCCGGGCGTGGACTGGGCCTTGATGGCGCTGCTATGCGTGGCAATGGACCACAGGAGCGACAGCTGGTGGGGGAAATAGGGGCCGGGATTCTGCTAGTAGTAATTAATCGATACCTCCTTCTTGCGAAAAATGCGTACCTCGATATCCTCGGCCGAGGAAGTTATCAGGGGGCCCGAGGACGGCGGCGAAAAAGAAAAAAAAGAGAAACATAATGTTGTGGCGTTGCGGCCACTTGGAGGGATGCTTGCGTCGGGAATTGAACCCGAATCTGCTGCTTGGAAGGCAGCAATGCTAACCATTACACCACGCAAGCTGTGATGTGATGGTGGCAGGCATCATTGGCGTGCCTATCAGGTGGGGTGTCGGATGACGCCCACCCTGGATCGTGGGTGACCTTTACTGGCCCGTAGGTATCCAGTGACCGACTCCTAAAGGACGGGGCTGGATGTGTCGACCGAGTCGGGCGACATTGAGTGAAGATGCGTACTCGAACCAACGGGGTTTCGCTAAAGCTGTGTCGCCGACATGGAAGGCAAAGAAGAACAAAAAAAAACACAGATCATCCGCTTTTGGTCTGCCGAGCCCAGTGGCCAGCCTGGAAGTCGTGGTGCAGCCCGTCACACGGCAGAAAACACGGAGTCGCACCGAAATCGGGCAATCTGTGCTGCATGTGAAGAGCGTCGAATACGAGCCGGCGACGACGACAGGTCGGCGTCGTCAGAGAAGTCGTTGGAGATGGAGGGTGGCAAACTAAGCACCCAGACACCGAGTTTGTTCCCATGAGCTTCAACCTCGCATCCGTCAGCAATAGCGTCTAGACTGAATCAGCGCCCACCAACTGGAGGCGCGCACCTGCTCAGGCACTAGACGCCACAAGGGCTGGTATTTGCAGGTTGGCGGAACGGAAGGGTGGGGCGTGCAGGCCGGCACAGAGCCGGTAGCCGATGCGCGGAACCGACTGCTTACGCCCTGCTGCACGGCTGGTCCGGTCCGCTACTCGGTGGCTGCCTGGGCGCAGAGACGACACCGGCCAACGACGGTTGTATCGCCAGCCTTCTTGGACCGTCCCAAGTTTTCCTCGTTTAGCCTCCCAGTCTCATTGGACCCGAGCTAGCCCCGGAGGTTCCCGACCATGCCGCCCGCTCTCTTCTCGGCGGCCGTCATGATGCAAGATGTGCACAAGACCGCGTGTGATCTGGTCATAGACGCACTCGGCCTTGCCGGAAAGGCAGGTAGGCAGGCAGTAAGGATACGACTGGGCGACCGTGGGGAACGGCTTGATGGGTATAAAATGGGAGCCAGCGTCCTCTTCCCTCGTCCTGAAGTTGACCCACGACAGCAAGCAGGCGCCACTCCCATCAATCTCATCTCCAGCCCACAGACAGTTCCGCACAGGATACTTGCATCACAAGACTTCGCCTTTGCCCTTTAGTAACCATCTGTCCCAGCCATCAAGATGAAGTCCTTCCTCGCTACAGTTGTCGCCTTCTTGCCTCTGGTGGCCGCGGCCCCTACGGCGGATGCGGGCCTCGAGAAGAGGACCCCAGGCAATGTACGTCCCCTACCCTTCTCCCAAGTACCGAGCTTAGTCTGACGCTGGTGAACTCTCACAGGTCTTCCTCTGCACCGGCAGCGGCTGGGGCAACACGTGCGGCAACTTCTTTGTCGGCACCGGGGGCTGCAAGCCTATCCCGGAGCCCTGGCGCGGGAGTGTCGGGTCCGCCGGGCCGGACCGGGGGGCGCTCTGCCGCCTCTTTGAGTAAGTAGTGCCGGCTTCTTCTTGGATCATCCTACTGTCGTTTGCTGATACTGGACACGCAACAACGACAGCGCTTCGCACGGCGACTGCACTGGAAGCGGGCTGGCGATCCTTGAGTCCCCCGGCAACTCCAACCTGTACGCCGGCAACGACGCCGGGCACAAGGCCCAGTTCATCGGGTGCGTCACCTGCACTGCCTGCCAAGGTTAGGCGCTGCCGTGGGTCGCGACGGTGGAACGGTGCAGCGCCTGGTGACAGGCTTGATGGACGGACATGGAGTCATCGATCGATCGGTGGCAGTGGATGGGCAGGCTAGAGCTGCTGTGAAGGGGGCCATCAAGTAGAGAAACGTGAGGGGAGCGAGCGAGTAGCATGTACTGTGGTACTTTATCAATGTCAAGCCCCACCACTAGCACGTTGACGCGCTGAGGACGAAATCTTGAGCGTGCGCAACCGACTTTGTGACTGGGCAAAAAATGGTATCAAAAGATGGTCTTCAGGCGACAGCAATGGAATTACAATTGTCGTTTTTAGTTGGGTTGAAGGATGGATGCCACGTTTGCGGAACAGCGGCATTCCACGTTGCGAACAGCAGTTTGCTGCCACCTGACAAGTACATTGGTTATGACGTCACTGCAAATGGCGGCAGGCCAAGAAATCCCCAGCCCAGCTCGTTCTCCATGCGCTAGAAATAAGCACAATTCCAACCCCTTCTTGTCCAGCAATCCGAGCCCCGATCCCATCCCCACGGCCAGTGTGATGCAGCCGACAGACTGGGCGTCATGAACAATGCTTTACTCAGGCTCGGGCTCCCCGCTCGGCTGTCCCGCCTGCCTCGCCCGACGCCCTCCCGCCTTTGCGCCGTGACTTCCTTGCCCAGGCCTCTGTCGGCTGTACCACCACGGTCCAGCCTCCCTGCGCTTGCACAACAGGCGTGTCGATCCTTCACACCGACCGCCCGACACTGCAGGCGATCGACGCCTGGAAACCATGACGGCGACGACGTGTTCGCCGCGCGCGCACGAGACCTCAACCAGAAGGGCCTAGACGAGGAGGAGAAGGAGGTCAGGCTCCGTCAACATCAGGTGAAGCGGCCGTGGCACCGTGACAAGGCCGACGAGCCGCCCGTGAAGGACAAGGGCGGCGCCGGCAAGGACGAAGAGCTGTCCAAGGGTGGGTGAAGGCGCATGCCACCGTGCAACATGCCCAAATGCCTACTGCCAAACTAACCGCCGTCCCCACCCAACATCCAGGCAAGCTCCTCACTACGCCTACGAGGCTCCTCAAGCTCATCATTCCGCTTCCCGTGTCGGTCGAAAAGGACAGGGACAACAACAGCAAAAGTCACGACTTTGGTCGGTCCATCTCCAGCAACGACGAGATCCAGCCGCTCGCCCTCCTAATACATCCACAGCAACCCCTTTCGTACGTCGAGCGTCTTATCCAGGCCGAGCTACCTCCGGTGATGGAAGATGGCAAGGAGAAGATACCCAACGTGTACTTCCGGGCCGAAGATGCGTCCGCCGAGGGCAGCAAAGAAAAAAAGGACAAGGCAACAAAGGAAAAGCCAGACAAAGGAAACCCGCACAAACCCAGTGGCTCACACGTGGCGTCGTACTCTGGGCTGGGGCACGAAGCGTCGGCGCGGGCGGACGAGGAGAAGCGGTGGGTGCGGTGGAGCAGCAGCACCGAGATGGGCGACTTCATTCGCGACGCGGCTAGGGGCCGGGAGTTTGTTATCGAGGTGGAAGGGTACGGGCTCGAGATGCGGGTCGGTGTGCCGTCGTTCAACGACCGGACGCACTTTCTACGCACGCGGCTGCGGCGCATGTCGCGTTCCATTGACCGCCTGGTCGACATCAAGCGCGAGTGCGACGAGCTGGCGCACCGGTCGGCGCACCGCCTCGCCCAGGGCGGATTTGGGCTCCTGGCGTCGTGGTGGGGCGTTGTGTACTACGTCACGTTCCACACCGAGGCCGGCTGGGACCTGGTGGAGCCCGTGACGTACCTGGCCGGCCTGGCCACCATCATGGCCGGCTACCTCTGGTTCCTCTTCATCAGCCGCGACCTGAGCTACAAGGCCGCCATGAACGTCACGGTCAGCCGCCGCCGCACCGCCCTGTACGAGGCGCGCGGCTTCGACGTGGCGCGCTGGGAGCAGCTGGTGCGCGAGGCCAACGCCCTGCGCGCCGAGGTCATGCAGGTCGCGCAGGAGTACGACGTGGACTGGGACGAGACCGCCGACCTGGGCAGCGAGGACGTCAAGGACGTCCTAGCGGCCGAGCGGCACAAGCGCAAGGCCCGGGCGGACCCCGACGAGGACGAGGACGACGGGGACGGCGACGACAAGAAGGAAGACAAGAGCAGCGGCAGGTCCGAGGCTGCGGACGGCAGCGGCAAGGCGGACGGCGGCAAAACGGAGCAGAAGCAGGAGAAGCAGGCCGGCGAGCAACAGAGGAAAGGCTAGGAGGGTGGCCAGGCAGAAGAGCCACGAGAAGGCGCGGTACCCTTGCATGTGCATGTACACCACCAGGCTGTCGGTCATGGAGAGCGAGTCGAGGACGTGGAGCACGGGGTCAGACGTCAGCTCGTCCCATCGCCGGCTCCGTCTGCCGCGGCTGGCGGCGCCCCAAGCCCAGAGGCCTGGCTCGGTCGGGGATTTGCTGGTGCCCGTCGTGGTGTGTCTCGTGTTGGTGTTGAGCATGGCTGCGGTGTGGTGGTGGTGAAGCATTTTGGAGAAGACGCATCATGTCAGGTGTCCAGTATACAAAAAGTCTAGACGGACGACAGGACTGTGAGTCTTTGGCCGTATTTATTTGCCTTCCTCATCCCCGTCATCCCCTACGTCCAAGATTTGATCCTCACCTTCCCCTGATTTCTGTGCCCTTCCAATCTCCAGTTTCCATGGCGCTGCCAGGCCCCCGCCCATGCTCCACAGGGCCCCATCCAGCACTGATTCCAGGCTGTTCCAGGCGAGCCCGCCTCGGGCTCTGGGGGCTCAGGGGAATTGAGATTGTGGTTGATCTGAGAAAGGATTGCTCTCCAACCCGGGCGGGACATGGGTTTCTTTTTATGCCTCTGACTGATGATCTGACAGGTACGTGCTGTCTCGGGCACAGCATTCTGTTTCTATAAAGTGCAGCCCGAAGAGCCCGAGTATTGGTCCAATCCTTGTGCTGTTCGTACATGCGTCATTGGGCGGGGGCAGGAGCGGGGGGCCGTTGCCCATCACACAACCCGGGCGTTTTGTCAGTGATTGGCCCGCATTCAATAACAGACGCACAGGACCAAAGGCGTCCAATCACGGTAACAAGACACAATGGTGTCCAGCCCAGGAGCACCAGGCACATCGTGTTGTCCTTGGCCGACCTGGGGCGCTTCTCTGCGAAACACGGCTGGTTTTACGCGACCAAGCCTGACCTTTTGTCCCCCTCTGACTCCTAGGCAAGGTACCATCAGCCCTACGGTGCTGGCTGGGCGACTGGGCGCTGACGATGGCGGATCGAGCACCTAGGTAGCTCCCTGTGCCCATCGTGCTGCCTTGAGTGGTCAGGACCTTTTGCCGTCGGGCGTACCCTTGGAGCCGCGACCTGGGGCTATGTGTTGGGGGCCGCTACTTGGGGGCCGCGACCTGGAGCCATCAAGGCACCCAGAGTTGGTGTTTGATGAGCTGCTACTGCGTATGGCCATTCCGCCACCGTATCATATGATGCTTTCGGCCTCATGGAGACTTTATTTACTGCCACTATTTAAGGCCGGATCACCCGCCGTGTTCATGTCTCTTGCCTACAAGTGCAAGCGCTTTCAGCGCACAATGACGTTCGCGACTTGCATCTATCCCAAGCTCGAGGCGGCTCTATCGCACTCAGCAACCTATCCAACCCATGCCCTATCACCATACAAAGCCAACGACACCCTACATTCAGCCGTACCATCTTCGGCCATCCTCCCCGCCCTTGCCCTCGCTCGCCCATGACCTTTTCCGTCCCCCCAAGGCAATGCCGTTCCCTGGGTCTTGCTGCTGCTGAGTACTCGCCCTGGCTCGAAGCCATCTCGTCCCTGGCTAGGCTTGTTGTCAGAGGAAATCTTGGGTTATTACGGCCCGTATTTTTCGAGAATTGGAAGCTAGAGTCGCGCTTGCCGACAGTTTTGGTCACATTCGCCATGCTGGAGCCCATCTACGTCTGGCTGGGCCTCGTCCGTGTCCGCGTCCGCGCTCCATGTCTTGCAGACGAGCAGCAAACGGAGCGACAGGCGGAGCGTCAGGCCGAGAGAAGTCGGTGGTACGGCGAGTCGCCAGGCGAGCAACAGGCGCAGCAGCAGCAACGAGAAGACACACGTAGCACTACTCGGCATTCCAATGGGGCCCAGCAAGGCACGGCCGAAGCTCCTCTATGGTCTGCATCGCAGAGCGACAGCGCTGGCCGAACCCAAGATTTCCCAGCATCGACTGCCTCCATTCCCCAAATCAGGCGGTCCAAACGGAGCATTGACGACATCAGCGACTCGGAGGGGGGCGGCAGCGAAAGACGCATACGTTTCGACGCCTCGGTGCCCGGGCCGTCGAATCTGCGCAATAGACATGGCCTCGGCTGCCATCTGCCTTGGTTAGTCGGCCTCGGTCTCGCGGCCTGGGAGGAGGCTCAGTCGGGTAAGGAAAATTCGCGGGACGGAGCGGGCCCGACCTCCCCGCCTGGAACGTCTCAGTTTGAGCTTCCCCATCGGCCGTCCAAACGCCTCCGGTCATCCCGCGGCAGCAGCCCCCAATCATCCACCGGGAGCAGCCCAGCGAGCGAGAGAGAGTGCAGCATCGAGGAAGCCAGCCGGCTGCTCGCCTGCCCGTTCTACAGGCACGACCCCGCCCGGCACCACGGCTGCGTTGGGGACCCGACACTCAGCGACGCCGACGCGGTCCGGTACCACGTTTTGGTAAGGCATCGCAATCCCCTGCGTTGCCCGATATGCTACGTTGAATTCGAAAGACACGCCGACCGTGACAGACACGTGGTCTCGCGGGCGTGCAAGCCGCCACCAGAGCCGCCCGCCGACCTCCAGGTGGGCGTCTCTGCATCGCAGGCGGCCGAGCTGGCGGTACAGGGCGGGCGTGGAGCGGGTGTCCGGGTGGACCCGGCCACCAGTTGGGATAATATATGGGACGTCTTGTTCCCCGGCCGGGAGAAACCCGCCGAGTCGCAGTTTGTAGCCGAAGGGATAGAGACGAATGCAGCGAGGCTGAGAATGTTTTGGCGTGACAAGGGACGGGGGCTTGTGACAGGCGCCCTGGAAGGAAAGGGAGCTCTGGAAGCAGGGTTACGGCTAGACGCGTCACTGGAGGCCTTGTTCGCGTCTGTGCTTGATGGGATGCTGGCGTCGCTTCAACAGAAAGAACAAGGAGATGAATAGGGGCTGGGTTCAATCTAGGGCTAAAACGATTGCAATAAGTACGGGTACCTAATCTGATAATCGCTGGCCGGGGCTGTGCCGTCATAAATACATAATACAACTGCCCACTCCCTTCCTTCGCCATCACTATTAAACCAAGAAGCGCCAGAGCATGGCAGATGTAGAGTGAGGCAATGGATGCGACGCTGGCCAATTGTCATGGGACGGCAGAGGATGGCTCTTCAACACAGTCGACCAGTGCTGTTTGCATGGCGCTGGCGGGTTTGGTCGGCGGATTGGTGTCGTCCATGGAGACATCATGAACTGGTGAAGCCGAAAAGTCAAAATTATCCATCGGAAGGGGAGTCGCATTCGTCTGGTCGGCGCGCGGAAAGTACGTGTCAGCCCCATAAGCGCCTTCGACATAATTATCCCCGAAAACAAGGCTGGGTGAAGGGGGGTCGACAGCGGCGAGGCTTGGGTTGGGGTTGGACGAGAACGGGGCAGCCAAGGATTGGTCTACGAATTGCGGCGGCTGGATCTGATCGTGGCTGCTGGATTGGGACAAAACCAGGAAATTCTGGTAAGGAAGGCTCCCCCAGCCGATGCGCGGAAAGCTCAGCTCGCTCCAGCCGTGATGCTGCTGCGGCTGCGGCTGTGGCGGGGGCGGAGGTGGGGGCGGGTGCTGTGATAGCGCCAACGTCGATGCAGCGCGGCTGGGCCTGCCACCGAAGAAGACGGCTTCTATGCCGCTGGCCAGGGCGCCACCGTGGTCGGGGATGTTTCGGTCTGCAAGGAACTGGGGGAGGCGACGTGAGCGGCCGGAAATGGACATGGAACCGTCGCCGGCCTCGTCCCCACGGCGTGCTCCAAACAGGGTGTTGTGGACATCTTGGACAAGAGGGAAGTGGTGCTCGGCGGTGATGCCGTGGTCTCGGAAAAGCTGCGGCAGCTGCCTCACGCCGCGGTCGCTCGCCTCGAGTACCACGTCAATTGTCTCCTTGAGGAGAGTGTCGAGGAAAACGCCGGGGTGAGGTGGTTTGTCTGGTTCGGGGCACGATTTCCTCCAGAGCCACCCCCACTTGTCGTGCTGGTTCATGCCATGGGTGGCCGCCTCGAAGCCCCCCAGGGCGGCGTATTGGTTCCGGTCGAGATCGTGGTACTCGCGATTGGTAGGCGTTTGCTGGGCCGACTCCTCCTCCCGGTGCGTCAGTAGGTGCGCCTCGCACTTGGCGCTCGTTGCAAAGTACTCCCCGCAGATGGTGCAGCGCTGGTCTGCGTTGTGCCGCCGCGCCAGGTGCTGCCTCACCACCCAGGGTTCCGTCATCTTGAAGGCCAGGCATTCCAGGTGCACGATGGGGTCGTATCTGTACAGAGGGCACGCGAACTTGCGCTCTGCGCCTTTGTCACGGGGCGGCCCGCACCGTAACGAACCGCCGCCGCCGTCGTCGCTGCAGCTGCTCTCGTCATTGTTGGTCCGCCGCTTGCCACTGCCCTTGCCCCTGCGGCCCTTGCCCTTGTCGTCGGTGGCACGCTGTCGGCCGTTGTTGGAGGCGTGCTTGGAGTTCTCGCTGGCGAACGGCTCATGCCTGTTCTTGCGCGCTTTTGGTGACGTCCGCGCTAGGCCGCCGCACTCGGTTGGCCCCGGAGCCAGCAGCTGCAGAGCTCGCCAGAGATGGGCGATCAGGCTAACATGCGACTGGACGAAGCAGACCAACGCACTGGCTAGCAAGACAAGAGCGACGGCTGGGCCTTGTTAGTGGGCTGGTCCGCTGTATTCTATGCCGCCAGTGGCCCCATTTGGCACATGCAGCTGCTGTGCACGCACCAACGGTTGCTGGCGCTGCCCGGTGCATGCTGTGAATCGATGGACCGGTCCTAAACTTACCCGCAAAGCAAATGCACGGCTCGCCTCTAGCTGCCACATGGCTCAAACCGACGACCATGCTTTCTCCAAGGTCGCGCTGCCGGGCCACCTTCTTTTTGTTTTTCTTTGCGGCATGCTGCACCCGCACGCTGGTGTTTGCACCGTTTTGAAACATGGTACCCATGTCGGTACGTCCCGAGGCGACACCGTCGTCGCACTCTAAATTGGGCGGGGATAGTCTGTTGGCTGCCGTCGGACGGGATCTGCAAATTACAAAGAACAATAGGATGGTTGAATGTGTGGGATCCTTGCTGGGAGGGATACAATGGATGGCAGTACGTGATCATATAAAGCGCGATTGTTGGCGAGGCGGGCGTGGCATATGGTGCATTGGCGGGCGGCTCGAGGGTGCGCCTCCTCCAAACTCGACTTCGGAGGAGTTGCTCCTGCAAGCGGTGCCACGGAATAAATCGAACGAAAAAAAGTAGGGACTTAGAAGGCAGCATAATGGTGGTTCGCCATCTATCCATGGTTCGCGCCGAACAGAAAACCCCAACACGGGTTGCGTGCCAAGCCATTTATGAGGCTTAAAAGTGACGGGCGCCGGGCCACGCCAACGGAAAACGTAATCCCATTGTTTCAATGGGATACCGACCTTTCAACACCTGAAAATAGCACCAGCTCGTTCTTGCTTTTTAAACTGGTATTATTAAAAAGATACCTAAGCTACTCGGGTTTATGTAAATGCTTGGAATCCAGTTAACAGTTGCCGACAAGCCCGTTGCGCTTTTCATTTTTCGCCCGCTATTGAGCCCGACCACGCCCGTCTTGCGCCGACGTCAACTCTACCAAGTTATGCAGCCTACATGGGTTGCTGACCGGGGTTAGGAACCCCTTCAGCCAGCTGTAAATAAGGCGACCAAGGCACCCAGGCTACTAGCACTTTATGCAGTTGCTGCCTGCTTTTGTGGGGATTTATCGCTTTTGTCAGCCAGGTGCCCAGGACGGAAATACTAATGTTTGAGAGAAATGGAAAGGGAAATACCTATTACGAGGTTCGATATGCAGCATCGAATTGTGCTATTATTTTAGCCGCCGCTTGCTCCCGAACCTGGGACGGTAATGGTGCGGCTTTGCTGCGCGGCAATGCAATCCTTCGAAGCTTGCCAAGGTTTTCGTCTCGCTGCCACTGCTCCAAGTACTCCTGGCGTAGCTGGGCGTGCTGGTTTTGTCGTTGCGCTGCGTTACGACTGGACAGCGACACGCGGCTTGGTTAGCGCACAACGCCGATGCAGCATGCCGGACTGGTGGGTGTGAAGATATATCCATGGTACTTGCCCAGCTTGAGTCTGGTGTTGGGGGTCGCTTTCTGCCATATTCACAGTGGGTCGAGGTTTCCTGTGCAGATGCAGAGATGACAGGAGGGAGCGACCGCTATGGGTATTCTCCTACAATCTAACGCCATCTTATACTACTTCATTCATCCCCTTCCTCTACAGCTGTAGGCATTGTGAGTCGCGTCTCTTTCGTCACCATCAACACTTTGTCGCCAACAAGAGTAGAGGCGACTTGCTGTTGCTCAGACCTGCTCACCATGTGTTGGCTCGGACTTTGCGAAGCTAGAGGGGTACATGTAGTTTGCCGAGCCACTCCACCAACCCCACCACCCTGGGTGGTACGTACATCCCCCACACCGACAAAAAAGCAGACAACAATTGTAGGCTCCTTATGCAAGTCAGGAGCTGATAACAGTACAGCCGGGCGTATTTTGGCACATGCAGTTCCAGAACCCGAAGCGTCACGAGCCACCTCCCTTTTGCCTGTTTTTCCACATACCCCCGCGATTGTATGTGTGCGCGCGGCCCAGTTGCCTTGTTTAGCTCGTTATCTACGTTCTGTCCTGTTCATTTTCACCTTATAATCCTGCCCAAACGATTGCAGCCCGAGGTCAGCGAGTTCGTTGATTAAAATAAGGCTACCTTTTCGTCGTAGGAGAATGCTCCCCACTCGAATCGCGGAATCGACAAGCAAAAGCAAGCCATCACCAGCGGCAGCAAATGAAAAGACCAAGGAGAAAGATGACACGGGAGTTGAGGACGACAACGATGCCAGCGAGAGTGGCCACCAGAGGGCGCCGAGGCGGTACCTTGCTTGTCCATTTTACAAGCACAACGCCTCGCAGCACATGATCTGCGTCCGGTTCCGGCTGAGGCGGGTTCGCGACGTCAAGCAGCACCTCAACCGCTGCCACTCGCGCCACATGCAGTGCCCCGTCTGCGGCAGTGAATTCAAGGATTCCCCAGGACTGGAGAGCCACATCCGGATGAGGAAGTGCCGCGAGCCGCCGGGCGGGTTCCGGATCCAGGGAGTGACGGCACAGCAGGGCAAACTCCTGAGCCGCCGAGTCAAGCGCAAGGTCGGGGAGGAGAGTCAGTGGTACGGCATCTGGCGCATTCTGTTTCCTGGTTCGGACAGCCCAGCCTCCCCGTACCTCATCAACGAGCTCGATGAGGCCGTCAACACCGTCAAGGACACGTGGAAGCGACAGGGAGAGGATATTGTGAACTCGGTCCTGATCAGGGGCCTCGCCGACGCAACAATGGGCAGAAACACAGCTGGCAATGACAGCCGCCCGCATGCGGCAACACGCAAACACGTCATGAAAATGTCCCAATGCGTCCTCGACGAGCTCATCCGTCGTATCCAGCTCGACAGCCGCAAAATTATGGGGCCATCGCTTTCGGTTTTGGACACTGGCGACGACTCAGCCCTGGTGGGTACGGAGCAGGAGCCAGAACATGAGGACCAAGAGATTTGGCAGAGCCTAGATGTCGACGGCAATCAGGAGCAGCATTATCTGAGTGCAGACTCAATGGGAGCTGGGCAGGGGCCAGGCAGTGGGATCCATGACTGCTCACAGGGCCAAGCTGTCGAGCCCGACCAGAAGCCACCTTTGGTGTGGGATAGCAAATTGCCGAGCGACATCGGCAACTCGAGCATGGTAAGTAGCAGAATGAGTGGCCCAGACGCATATTGTTGTGCTGACACCAGGCCAGGTGGCATACGAGGCCAGCCCCGAATCAAACATGCAGCCAGAAACCCCGTCGATCGGCTGGATGACCGCAGGATTTCCCGGCTCTCCAGAGAACTCGCTATCTACGTTTCAAGGCCCAACCGACGGCAGTTTTCCCCCCGGTTTGTGGTTCCCAGCGATGGTGCACTGGATGGAAAAACTCCATGGCGGTTCAGGGCTATCCTGCGAAAGCATGTCGATGCCGGCGTTTCCGGCATGCTCGCGGGAAAGCTCTATTTCGTGGGCGCCAACACCGGGGCAAGGCGACCCGTTCATCGTCCCGGAGGGTATGCTTCCTGAGGACTGTCCGGGGAGTGGTATAATTTATGGCGAAATATCACCACCGGGGCTGGTACCATGGGAATGACCTTATGAGTTTTGCTTTTCTTTATTTTGGATTGCTTCGTATTTTTCCTCGTTTTTCACGTTGTAATGACCGCGTATAGATTTCGTAATAGAGTCCGTTTCGTGGCGTGGAGTGGCATGCGGCGCGTGCAGCTCGTGGCAGTGGTGCAGATGGAGATCACGCCAGCGAGCATGTTTAAACGGTTATATCCGGGTCCGGCCAGCGCCGACGAAGTGTGGCGCCTTTTTCTTGTGCGGGGAGCTGGAGATGCAGGTCGGGCCCTTTTTTATGACGAGCGTTTGGAGCTCACATGTTGTGGGGAGATTTAGCAGCTGCGCTTCCCCGCCTTGCATGCATGGAATGCAACGGCAAAAAGAGATGGCCGTACGATGGCGGCAACCCCGACACATCATTGGGAGGACGGACACACGATAAAATCGAGTCGCCGGCCAGGGCTTTGGTTTGGTGATGGGCATTGAACTGGCTTTACGTGCAGGTCCTGATTTGCTTCCATTGCTCCAGCCCAGTTGAGGACAGCCAGGCAGCCAGGCAGCCACATCGAACCCCACCCATTACCCCGCCATCAAAATCGCCATGGGTGCCCCGTCCATCGTCCACCTCCCCGACGGCCAGCACTTTACCGTCAAGCCCGTCTTTGCTGGCCTCTTCTTCAAGTCCCACGAGCTGAGCACCCATCCTCACTCGTTCCCCATCGGCTGGACCGTTGTGCTGCACACCCAGGACCCCAACGGCGTCGAGTCGCGTAGGCCCTCGGCCGACTCGACCGCCGACGAGGACGCGCCCCAGGGCGACCAGAATGACCAGAATGACCAGAATGACCAGAACGACCAGAACGACCAGAGCGACGAGAAAGACCATGGCTCCAACTCGCCCCGCAAGCAGAACGGCATGCTGGCCGCCGCCGAGCACGGCCCGCGCGTACGCGCCTACACGCGTCCGACCCTCCACGATGACTGCCTCTTCATCAGCTCCATTAGTAACCCGAGCAGCAGCGACTTCAAGCCGGCCGCCAGCCCGACGCGTCAAATCGCCATGATGCTCTGGATCACGCTGTACTGGTACTTCCACCAGCAGCCCGTCCCCGACTCCGTCCTGCCCGCCACCGACGCGTCGCTGCAGACCCCGCCGGCCGGCCGTCCGCGCGGCGAGTGGCGCATAAACATCCGCCGAGATGGCGTCCTGCGCGCCCGCAACCTGCTTCCCAAGCTCGAGCGCATGGGCCTCGTCGCCACCCTCGACTCGGCCGTTGGCATCGCCCCGCACGACGCCCACCCCGCCGACGGGGCATGGGACCGCATCTTTGTGTCGCGCCGCGCCTTCTGGCAGATCCCCGCCCGCCTCTTCCTCTTCACCCTGCAGCCCAGCCCGCGCCACACAGACTCGTACCCGGGCTCGCCCGCCTCCAGCCGCCCCGTGTCGCCCGCCCAGGGGAACCCGCTCGTCATAGTCCCCGACACTGGCGGCCTCGACGACGACGCGCTGGTTAACAGCAGGAGGAGCCTCGACGCCGCCCTCGAAGCCGTGTCGACCGTCGCGTCCATCATGACCCAAAACTCGTTCCCAATGGGCCCCTTTTACAGCTCATCACACCTGCCAACGTACTACCCACCCGCGCCGCCCCAGTACACGATAACAAACCACGTGAGGCACCCGGTGCGACCCAAGCCCCCTCGCTCGGGCGAGGTCTTTTACAGTCGCTTTGTGCCGTCGGCGGGATCATACCTTTCGTTCCGCGTCGCCTCGCTGTCGCCGCGGCCCGTCACATACCAGGGCGCCGTTGGGCCTTCCCCGCCGCCGCAGGGTGCAGGCGCCCGCCACGGGCAACACCACAAAAACGGCGGCGTCCCCCGCATCCGAGCGGCGGCCATGGAGCACGCGCACCTGGGCCTGCTGTCGGACACGGAATTGCTGAAGGCGTGGCTATCCAAACCGCGCGTGGCCGCCTTTTGGGGCTCGTTCGTGCCCGACTTTCTGCTGCAAGCCCTGGCGCTCCGCCACTCGTTCCCCGTCGTGGCCATGTGGGACGGTGTGCCGTTTGCCTACCTCGAGGTCTACTGGCTGAAGGAGGACCCCATCGGCCGCCACCTGGGCGCCTTTGCTGGCGGCTCTGCGGCTGACTGGGATCGCGGCGTGCACGTGCTCGTCGGCGAGGAGTGGGCCCGCGGCCTGGTGCCTCTGTGGCTGTCGAGCATGGTGCACTGGGTGTTTACCGCCGACTACCGCACTATGAGCGTGGTCGTCGAGCCGAGGATTGACAATGAGAGGTAGGCCGGTCTGCTGGGCTGCTATGTTTGGTTTGACAAGTGCTAACAATAGCCCCGTCCAGGTTTATTCAGCATCTCCAAGCCGGCGGATTCGTCAAGGAGATGGAGCTGTCACTGCCGCACAAGCAGGCATGGTTTGGGCGACTGAGGAGGGAGAATTGGGAAGGCCCGGCGCTGTGATGTGAGGAATGTGGGGTGCCACCGGCGCGTTGTCGGACGCGTACCCTGGCTCCAGGGGCCAACAGCAGTCTTGCTGTGTCACTGTGGCAGCACTGAATGCTACAGTCCCGCTTGGACCGTGTTATATTCTCTGGATTTCCAGTGGCTTTTGCCGATTCGATGGATAGCAGAGTGGACAGCTTCGACCGGTACTGTTGCTCTCGGCTTCAAAAAGAGCAATGTTTTATTTTGGGAAGAATTTTAGGTTGTTCGTTTGCAGACCAAAATAGCGTCGCCCCATCGAATTTGTTTCCAAACGCACCCCTTGGTTGCCGAAACAAGCTCAATGGCACGTGGTGCCTGGGCCAGGGGCGGGTGGGTTGTGGAGGTTGTGGAGAGGCGCGGACAGGAACGCCAAGTCGGTTGCTGCCAAGCCTCACCATGTCGCCCTGCAAGGTTGTATTTTGGCACAATGGCCATGTCGCGAGTTGGCCGATGGACGCTTCACGACAGAGTCGCCAAAGCTTGAGCGTAGATTGGGAACAGGAACGACCCGCGGCGGGAGATAAATATGTCGCCTCTCGAACACACATTTCCATGTTCTTGTTTTTCTCGCCACCCACGCCTTGCCTCGCCTGCCTCATCCATACAGTCCTTCTTGCTTTCCAACCACCAAACCTTTCTACAAGGCTCGAGTCTTTTTTGCAGCAGACACCCATCAACGTCCAAAATGCAGCCCTCCGCCAGCACCCTTCTCCGCGCCCTCGTGGTCCTCCTCGCAGCTCAGGTCGCCGCCGTGCCCATCCCGGGTCGCGTCGCCACGACCGAGGGCGGCGGCATGATGCGATGCATGGCTATGGGCCCCATGTGCGAGGGGAGCAAAGAAGCGCCGGCCGTCGACGCCACCGTCGACGCCACCGTCGGCGGCGCCGGCAACAGCACCACCACCCCCACCTCCACCCCCACCACGGGCGACGCCGAGGACCCGCCGCGGTCCCCGCCGCTGCGCAGCGAGCCCCGCCCGGCCCTCACGGCCTTCCACCAGCTCCCCGCCGACCGCCGCCCGCACGTCCGCACGCGGTCACCCCAGGAGGCGCGCTGCATGGCCCTCGGCCCGCTGTGCGAGGGCAGCGACGAGTCGCCCACCAAGCAGGAGGCCCCCGCCCCGGAGCCGGAGATGCGCTGCATGGCCATAGGGCCGATGTGCGAGGGCGACGCCGCCAAGAACGGCACCGCCGCGGCTGCCCGCAAGGGGCCCGTCACGCCCGACAACCCCAGCGAGGCCTCGCTCCCTGTCGAGGCCGATGAGGCCGAAGAAGCCGAGGAGGCTCTTGAAGACGATGAGGCTCTTGAAGACGAGGAGGCCCTCGAAGACGAGGAGGCCGTTGAAGCTGAGGAGGCCGAGGAGGCCGTTGAATGCGGGGAGACCGAGGAGGCCGATGAAGCCGAGGAGATCGAGGAGGCCGAGGAGGCCGTTGAAGCCGGAAAGGCCGAGGAGGCCGTTGAAGCCGGGAAGGCCGTTGAAGCCGAGAAGACCGTTGAAGCCGAGAAGACCGAGTGAGGTGGCCGTCGGCTTTGCTTCCTCGGCGTCGCGGCCCGCGCCACAGTTGAGTCGGACTGACAAGTCGTGACGACCACGCACCATATTTCTTTTCTCTTGTTTTATTTTTGTCCACTAGTTTATTTCCTTTGTTCTCTTGCCTACTTGGAGGCATGGAGTTTGGCATTTGGCGCCATCGGCATCGACTGCCCCCGGCCTTGTCTTCTTTTCTTCGGTGGGCGGTTTGGTTGGGCATTTTATCCTGTTTGTATACCCCCTTATCGTAGTATTGTTTATCCTGTTAACGAATCAACACCTCACATTATCACTCAACCCAGCCCCGAAAGTAGTCATTTTGCGAAAAAAGTGCAATCCCAGTATTAATTATAAGTGACTATTGTGAATGAATTGTTGCCCCAATCCCCTGAACGAACAAAATATGCCAAGCTCCAAGCCTCGTTAGGATTGCACGCGTATTACACATCCGATTTCGTATCCCAACAAAAAAAAACAACACCAACACAACACCACACGTCCATGAGAGGACACAACGGTCAAGAGGCCAGCTTAGGCGAAGAAGACAACAGCCATGGGCGCCAGGGCAGCGACCAGGGAGCCCATGTTGGCGACGATGGCGCGGGCGCCGGCCGTGTAGATGGGCATGGGGGCAGCAGCCGTCTTGTCGGCAGGGGCAGGCATGACGTGCTCGGGAGCGGCGGCCTGGCCCTCGGCCTTGGGCTTGTAGACGACCCCACCGTCGCAGACGGTGCAGGGCGTCTCGACCCAGCAGTCGTCGACGCACTTGGGGGCGGGCTCGGGGCGGCAGACGGGCTTGTTGACGCAGGCGTCGCCGGCGCACTTGATGGGCCTCCAGGCCGGCTCCTCGGGCTTGCAGACTTCGCACACGCGCTCGTAGTAGACCTCGGTCTCACAGGCGCCGGGGAGGCAGGTCACGGGAATCATGATGCTGATGTTGACGTTGTTGACGTTGTTGTTGGTGTTGTTGATGTTGTTGATGTTGTTGATGGTGGTGCCGCTGCCGGTGGGCGAGGGGGGAGAGATAGTGGTGGTGGTGTCATCGACAGGGGCGAAGACGTAGACGGTCAGGAGCACTCCAAAGGGCGGCGCCTGGCGGGCCTGGAGGTGGCGCTTGCCGACCGTGAGACGGCCACCGCAAGACTGGGCAGGGTTTCCAGGGCAGGGGATGTCGCACGACGCATCACTAACGGTGCTCAGGGTGGCAGCGTCGCCGTTGCCGCAGTAGCAGTCACTGTGTCAAAAATGTTTGTTAGTCGAAATGCAATTATACGGTGGGGGAAATGAGCACAAGAGAAGTGAGGGTAACATACGCTCCAGAGGTACCCGACATAGTCTTGTTCTGGCCCTGGCAGATGCCGGCGCAAACATCTAGGCTGTTGTCGGCGCGGGTGGCGGCAAGGACGAAAGGCGAGGTGCCAGCCGACGGGGGCGGCGAGCTGGCACATCCGGCGTACGCGTAGTCACCAATGCGGCGCGGGCCAGGGAGAACAGTACCGGTCGGGACAGGGCCACCCGTCGTGGTCGGGCTCGTCGTGTTCATGTCGCCGGTGGGGGTGCTCGACGGCCCAGTCGGCTCACCAGTGCTGGTGGTCTCAGGCCCATCGGTGGTAACGGGGCCATCGGTGGTCTCAGGTCCATCGGTGGTAACAGGGCCATCAGTAGTCTCAGGGACATCGGTGGTAACGGGGCCATCAGTGGTAACGGGACCATCGGTGGTTTCCGGGCCATCAGTGGTGCTGGTAGCGCTGGTAGAGGTGGTAGAGCTGGTGGTGGTCGACTCGGGCTCCGGGACCGGGACCGCGAGATAAGACCGAACCCTCGTGATCATGAAGTCGTTGACCCTCGGGTCCGTACCACCCGTTGTCGTCGGTGTCACGCAAACCTGTCTGATGTGGACGATGAGTTGTTGCGAATCGTCCTCAAAGTTCGGTGGAATAGTGAGAGCCGGGCCAATAACGGTGGAGCCGGCGTTCGTGTCGTACTGCCCCTCTATCTTTTCCTCGCGTGGAATCAGGGTTGCGCCGTACCACAGCTCACGGGGAAACGCGGGCGCCGAAGATCCAGGCCGCGTTTGGGTGTCGGGACCCCATGTAGCCAAGATGTGCATGTCACATCCCGCCAGTGTGCCAGAGGAGGTGGTCGTTGACGCGAGGTAGTGCGAGTCCACATCCGTCACCAAAAAGTCGACTGTGACGTCAAACCGAGCACCGACAGTGGCACCCGTCGGCCAGGGAACCTCAATATCCACCTCCACGTATTTGACGTCGCGCTCGTCGAGGGTCTGACCGCTCGGCTTGTTCCTCTTGTCGAAGACGCTGTTTGAAAAGCGCAGGAACGGTCAGCATCCAAGTCGTACCACGTTCATCCAGTTCTTACAGATTGAGGGGTACCTACTAGACATGGCCCTCATGGCCGCGGGAATCCCTGGCGCTTGTGACTGCACCATAGGCACCGGTGCCCTCAAGCTCGCTCACGGCCCGTATCGACAGGTCCGCATCGGCCGAGTTGACACCGATGGCGGCCGAGGCAAGCGAGGCCAGGGAGGCCAGGGCCAGGCCGTACATGCCGAGAGTGGACCGCATCGTAGCGAGTAGTGAGCCGCGTTCTGCAAGGCAAGGCTGGGTACCAGGGGGATGTGGGATTGGGGAAGCTGGAAGGGCAGGTTCGAGAGAGTGACAGGGGTAATGAGTGACTGAGGGGGCTAAAGAGTGACTGAGAAGGAAGTTCTCTTGATTGCTGGGAAGCCTGAGGAGGAGGGGAACAGTTGAAGAGTTGGCGGGGACGATGCCGCGACTTTTATACACGAGCTGGGCGCCAGTGTCAAGGGCCGGATGGAGCAGCGATCGCCTTGGTGTCATCGCTGGGAGCGCTCCGTCTCTGCATCCGGACCTCCGCCCTCCCGCGCGACAGAGGGCGCTGGGTGGTGGGTGGCTTCGTCTGGCTCTGTGTTTGTTTTGGCCCTTTGGCGGCATGGAATGCTGTTTCGCCTTTAAGTTGGGCACTGGATTCAGTCGAGCCATGCTGGTGGTGTCTTACCTTGGGAATCACTCCAATAGCAGGCGGCAAGTCTTGATCGCCTCGGCCAGCTCTCGTTTCTTCATTGTCTTTGGCAATTTTGCGTGTCTCACTCTCCGCCGGCAGCACATGTCCAAGGCACGCATTCGGGAGCAGAGTCATCTGGCAATTCGAGTCTTTAACGCCATATCGATCTTGGAAGCCGTGTTGGATATTGACTAGTGGATTCTACTGCAATGGTCCATGCTATCGCCGATCTCCTTCCTGTCCAGTCTTATTTACCGCGAATTCCAAGGGGAACGCTAGGTAGCGCAGGGCAGTCGCAAACATCGATCGATCCCTCAGGGCGACCGGCCTCGAACCCGCCCGGGAAGTGCAATCCTCCTCCCTTGTGCACCCCACATTCTTCTCCCTCACTTCATGTTTTGCAGCAGGTATCGGACGCCAGCAAAGGTCTCCTCAGCCGTGGGCACGATCTGTGAGGCGGGCAGCAGGAAGCCAAAGTTGCCCGTGTCACGCAGCTCCTCGGTGAAGGTGTAGTCGGCCTTGACAACGTCGTTGACGTAGTCGACACTGCTACCGGTAGCCTGGTAGATAGTTGTGCAGATGGGGCCGGCCTCGTACACGGTGCCGTGGACCTTTTGGATGGCGGCGACGGCACCCTTGGCCAGGGCCACCATCTCGGTGCCCCGCTCGGGCTGCTCCGTGCAGGACCAGCCATAAGGGGTCATGAACAACTGCGAATAGGCATGGAAATCGATGAAGAGCTTGAGGCCTTGGGCTTTCTTGGTGGCCCCTAGCCACGAGGCAAGTGCCCGTGTCTCGGGGGCATCGGCGGGAGCAGCGCCTTTGAAGTCCTCTGCGCACGGGTTGGTGGAAGCACCGCCCCTGACGTCCCATTTGAAGTCCCAGTTGCGGTTGATGTCATGGCCGCGGCAAGAACTGCCACCGGTGGGCTGGCGGTTCTTGCGCCACAGGCGATCGTTTGTCTGCGTGTAGCTGAAACCGTCCGGGTTGACGATGGGGAAGATGTAGAAGTCGTACTTGTTGACGAAAGCGGTGGTCTCCCCAGAGCCGTAGCCCGAAGCCAGGGTCCAGGCGAGGTACTCGACCGTCATGGTGCCGACCCACTCGCGGGCGTGCACAGTGCCGTGAAAGACGACGGCAGGCTTGGCGCCCTTACCTGCGTTGCCAAAGATGTGGATGCCAGCCAGGTCCCGCCCTTCGAGCGACTTGCCAGCCGAAACTAGGGCCGTGTTCTTGGGGAAGGCGGCCTGGACGTCAATGAGCCACTGCTGGTGCTCTGCGTAGCTGTGGTACGACTGGAACCACGTGCTGTTGGCCGAACCAGCCGCGTACAGGCCGAACGAGGACTCGTCTGCGATTGCGGCGCCAAGGTCTTCATGCATGGTGATCATGTCCAGGCCTGCCGTGCGGGCGCGGAACTGGTCCAGCTGGTCGGGGGCAACGACGATGTCGGCCATGGCGTTGCTGCGCGGGGCGCCCTTCCATGTGGCCAGCGAGAGGTCGCTCACGATGGCCCTGACACGGTCGACCTGGTCGCCGACCGCCAGGCGAAAGACCTTGTAGCCATCGTACGAAACAGTGCGCGGCTCGACGGCGGCAGCGCGAGCGCCTGAGGCGGCCAGCAGCGGCAAAAGAAGCGCCGCGGCAGAGGTGCTGAGCGAGAGCCGCATTCTGGCGGTGGCTGGCGGTGCTGGGTCACTGTGGTCCCTAGAGCTAGGGGAGGCAGGCCAGGCAGCGGCTGGAATGTCTGGCTGAAGGCAGCGAGCGCAGGCAGAGACAGACAAAGGGGGCGTGAGACAGACCGTCAGGCTGACCTGGGAAAGTACGGACAGGTGGCCGCTTTTGAAGGAACGAGGGAGACGGGAAAAGTCGTCCGATGTTGACGGATGGGTCCCCAGGCCTGGCCTGCCCGACATGGGCCTGCCTTGAGGTACCTATCAATGCCATCTTGGCGATGCCAATCGGGCGGCGGCAGGAAACAAAAGGGTCAGCATTGAATTCCGCCCCCGACCAATGCAGATGGCAGGGGCGGCAATGCGCGTCGAGCTCGATATGTGCAGGCCAGCGACGAATGCATTGGACCTGAAAAAAAAACGCACTCTATTGGTCCTTCCCGTTAATGCGAACCCCCCTCGGGAGCCACAAACAGCACCAAGACGGCAGTTGCAATCAAGCTCTAGCCGCCGCTTTCGGACCTGCCTAATTCGTCACTACCACTCACACCCTACCCCGCCCATCCACGTCATGGTCCTCGGCTTGATTACGGACCCTCAACCTGGAGCAGCCTCTCCCGTTTTCGTAGGTCTCCCAATCCGGCAGCTCCCTCCCAAAGCCCCCTTAGACCCCTCCCGGCATCTTGATCAGCTCCAACTTGTCGTCGAGGTAGTACCATTGGTTGTAGACTTGTGGCTCTTTTCGAGCACGTCCTGCATCATTGTCACGTTTTGGTAGGATTCGCCAATGATGGGGATCACGCTGCCCCCGCGAGCTACTTTGTAGTACTGGATGCAAGGAGTTCCGGTTAGTTGGAGTGGCCTCGCGTGATTGACTAGCACCATCTCTTCACGTACCGTAAACCAATCTCTAAACGCCTGCGCAGTGCCGAGGCGGTATTTTTGGACGTCCTGCCACGCTGTTCATGTCGTGCCAGTTAGCTTGAAGCATGCACGAAGACAGGGCCGCCAGTAGCTCACAGTTGATAAGAGGCGCCCAATGATCTTTGATGTCGATTCCCATCATCTTCCAGTCCGTTTCTCCTCCCTGCCAGGTGTGCGGCCAGTTAATGTTAGTCGTTTATATGGACAGGTACACTGGGACATCGTGCTTAGGCAGGCATGCGTACGTCATTAGGTGCTAATTAAACCCCCTAGGACCTTGAGACGCTTAATCTGTCCAGTGTATCGAGCGCTGCGAGGAGGTCAGCTTTGATTGTCCTGCCAAGTTATAAGAAACAAAGTTCCGGGAGACCTGCTTGATCAGAAAATTATCTTGCCACCTACTTTCGCCCAATGTCAAACAAGTCGACAGGTCATTGTCGCCCTTGAAGCCCGTAAAGTCGTGCTTAAAATGGAGACTTTCCCAGGTTTAGAGGATCGAGCCGCAGACAAACAGATAAGACTTGTAAAGCCAGACGCTTTCGACAAACCGAAGAGCTGCCCGGCGATTGTCGTGGAATATCGAGTCTTTCTAGTTAGAAGCGCGGTTGAAACGTGATAGAAGATAAAGAGACTACTCACTCAAGGGCTCGGTCCGCTTAATTATTATTTTGGCATCCTGCCATCTATTTACAAAATACGCTGGTTACAAGCGCTAGGCATTTTTGATATTGCTAAAATATTCACCCCAAGTACATCGGGATTTCAACAACAAAGTTGATAATCTGCTTGTTCGACTCCTTTGGCCACAGAGGAGCGCCGTGCCAAAATGAAATCGGCTGTCCTTTCTGCTCGAGCCAGATCCCCCAGTCCTGATGGAAAGAGTAGCGGCAGCCGAGTTAAGTCAGTGCACCCCTTGTCGGCGCACCCCCCTTGTTCGCGCACTCTGTAGGCCCACAACATGGAATCTTCTAGAGTACTCCCGCCCTTATATTTTCGTTAATTCTGGTCCGTTTTCCTTACTTTTTTTTGCAATTTAATGCTTAAATGCCGAAAAAACAATATACAAAAAAAAACGTTAAACGGGCTTTCGATGCGGTGCGTACAAAAAGCGGGATCCAAAAGGCTGCCCGGCTTTATAGGATACCAAAGTTAACCTTTAAAAGTTGTATAAAAAGCGCCTTACTTATCCGGCAATTACACGAGCAATATTAACGGATACTTTTTAAGTAAAAAAAGCGATTAATTAATTGGATTTTATTACAAAACTTTTTAAGCTTTTTACTAACGCATGCGGAAATCCGGTTTTTTGCAAAAAAAATATTCCGGCTTAAAAATAATTCCTAGCCTTTCGGGAAGCATTGGATTCGTGCTTTTTTAGGCCAATATCCGGAAATCCGAACCGGAAAATTAAAGCGCATAAAAAACGCACGCGTTTAAAGGGCTATTATTGCAACGATAACGGAATGGTGGCAACGTTTGTAAATACCGGAAATGGCCCGGATTAAGCCGGAAAATACGTACAACGCCAACAAAGGAGGCTTGCAGGAGGGTAAGACCGGTAACGGGCTTGCAGGAGGGTAAAACCGGTAACGGGCTTGTTTTAAGCTTTGCTGGCACCCGGCCTTTACAACGTAAAGAGCTTGGGTTTCGTACGTAAATTTCGTTTATCGAATGCATTTCGGCCACGGGGGTATCGCTACTTCCTTTTATTATTTTTAAGGGAAAAAGCGTGCAAAAGCAATGGTTTTTTGCAAATTTGGGCCTTTTCCGAGGGTGGGAATTTATTGCTACGGATAACGGCTGGATTACGGATTTTACGGGCTTAAAATGGCTGCAAAAAGTGTTTTTCCCACGCATTTAACCATTTACCCTTAAAGCCCGTCTTTTAATCCTAAATGGGCACGGATCGCACGTTACCAAGGAGTTTATGTTTTTTTGCTTACGGAATAACGTTTTTTTCCTATATTTGCCCGCCCATACTTTGCACGTATTGCAGCCCTTTAATTTATCGATTTTTAGCCCTTTTAAATAAGCTTACCGCCAAAAAATTGGCTTTTAAGCTTTATTTACTTATTTAACAATGGTGGGAAAACGTTAATTTTTAACGGCTTATGCTTACGCACGATTAAAAGCCTTTATTGCCTTTAATATAAAAGCGGGGTGGCGGGCGGCCGGTTTTTGGCTTTGCAATATAGCCAAACCTTTTATAAACCGTTTTGTCCTTAACAACTTTAGCTTGAACAACCAACAATCCGAAATTTAACAAGCTGCAAAGGATAACAAGGCCAAATAACGTTTAACAATCCTTTCCCGGGCGTTCCAAATACTTTGGGAAACTTTTAAGCGATTAAAAAAGTTGGCCACCCAAATTAGCTTTATAAAGGCCCGGATCCTTGCAAGCCTTACAATACGGCTATTCTTTAAAAAGTTACAAAAAAGCTACGAAATGCACGAATACGATATGGCTACCGCTCAGCAAAAAATTAGGCGGTTAAAGGCCCAATTGGAGGCATAAGTGCTTTGCAAAAGAAGGAAGGTGGCCTTTAATCCCAACGAGGCCTTTGTGGATATCCGCCAAATTGTTGCAACGAGGGGGGAAAATTTGGAGGAAATGAATAGTGCGTTTAAAAGCCCGGACGATTTTAAACAGGAATTAACTTTGTTTTGCATCGAGGTAGCTTGAATAGAGGTAGAAATTTGCAGTTGAATGTAGTAGGTTTGGTGTTGATCGGATCCCTATAGAGTGCGCGAACAAGGGGGGTGCGCCGACAAGGGGTGCACTGACTTAGAACCTATCGACGATGCGGGTGCTTCCCCAACTTACCAGCGTATTCCGCCCTCCGGCTTCACGCAGGCTTAAAGAGCTGGGATCAAGCGCTTAGGTAATAGCCAGCAGCGCCACCATGAGGGAGGCAAAATGGAGAAATGCCATTCGACGAAATTCGGATCGCGCCTTTCCACCAAGATACCTCAGCAAGATCAACACAGGGTGACTGGTCGTCCATTGCAGCGAGCAGCAGCGATCCGGTTAAATATACCCAGCCTTATCCCGCCAAGCTCAGCTCTCGAGAAAAAACCAGGCTTGGTAACGATACGACACTCCCCTTTGCAGGCGTGGTGGTGCTGACCCCGCGAGGCCACTGGGCCCAGCCGCACGCCAAGATGATACACGTCCAGGGTTGCAAGGACCCAGCCGCCTGGCCCCAATGGAGGGAGCCATCAACCCCACGTGTGCCGTTGCTCTACATTGGCAAAAGCCTACAGATTCGATGGCAGCGGTCTTCTCCTTGGCCATCGCGGCTTTGATGGAGAATGGATGCAGTATGAGGACGCATGCATTTGCTACTGGCAACAAGTGGGCAATGGACAAAGACAGACAGTTTTGGGAACAGCGATCACGTTTTTGGGCTTCCCTCGTAGAGGATAGCATTCGTTTATTGCAGCAGCTATCAAGTGCCCATCACAGCTCGACCGTGTCAACGAACTCGAAAGCAAATCCCGGCATCAGGCGGCTCCCCTTTACGTTTGCCTTGTCGACTTGACGTCGAATCTGCTTCTCCTCCTCAGGGGTTAGAGTGACGCGGGTAGCGCCGACATTTTCCTCAATATGCTTAGCCCTTTTGGTCCCCGGGATCGGCATGACGTCGTCGCCTTGAGCCAGCAGCCAGGCCAGAGCGATCTGGGCAGGCGTGGCGCTCTTTGCGCGGGCCATGGCCTCGAAATTGGCGACAATCTCGAGATTGTGGTGGAAGTTCTCTTCGCTGTACCGCGGGAGGGCCAGACGATAGTCGGCCGGGTCTAGGTCGGCGCGCGAGCGCAAGGTGCCGGTCATGAGGCCGCGGCTCAGGGGCGAGTAGCACACAACCGACACGCCCAGCTCGCGACAGGCCTGCAGCAGGTGGGTGCCCTCGGCGCCCTCGATGGCCAGGTCGAAGGGGTTGTACTCGACCTGGACGGCGGCGATGGGGTGCACGGCGTAGGCACGGCGTAGCGAGCGCGAGGAGCACTCGGATATGCCAAGCTGGCGGACCTTGCCCTCGCTCACCAGCTCGGCCATGACGGCCATGGTCTTCTCGATGGGCACGTCGGGGTCGAGGCGGTGGATGTAGAACAGATCGATGTGGTCGACGCCGAGGCGGCGCAGGCTGGACTCGCACGAGGTGCGGCAGTACTCGGGCGAGGTGTTGAAACCCCAGGTGCCGTCGGCGCCGAGGCGCATGGAAAACTTGGTGGCCAGGTAGATGTCGTTGCGGCGCTCGGGGTGCAGGCGGAACCACTTGCCCATTAGGTCCTCCGAGTCGCCGTAAACGTCGGCCGTGTCCCAGTGGGTGGCGCCAAGCTCCCAGGCGCGGTCGAGCACAGCGAGGCGCTCTTCATCGGATCTACATGTGTGGACGAAGCAAGGTCAGCGGCGGATGGCAGACAGATGGCAGTGCAGGGCAAGATGTGCTCACGCTGTCGGGCCGGAGCCGAAGCCAATGCCCAAGCTCATGGCGCCGAAGCCCATAGCGGCGACTTGGGGGCCATTCTTGCCCATGCGGCGCGTGGGGAGTTGGGCTGGAGGGACCATTGTGTCTGCTGGCCGAGGGCTGGTCGAGAGGGCTGAGAATCTCGAGACAGGTGGAGGCGTCAGGGTAGAGGAATGGGACGTGTGTTTTTGTCGTCGCCATTCCCATTCCCATTCTGCATCGAGGCATCAGCCATGGTTGCCATTTTATAGACAGAATTTCGCAAAGGCCGGAGCGCAGAAACGTTGGTAGCGGCCATGTTCGCCGCAACGAGAACCCTGGCGCAGATGCTGCACGCGCGGGGTTAGGAGGGAGTTGTCCGTTTAACTCCAGTAAGCGGCAGCAAATAGACGCGCCAAGAATGCACCATACTACGCGTGTTCCTGGTCTCCATCGCCCAGCCCCAGCTGCATGCCAGCAGGGCTCCATACTATGGCGCCTGAAGCGGGGCGGTCGATAAGGGATAGGACGCGAGCGGGAGCGGGTTCTCACCAAGAGACGGGATAGGTGACATGCTCCCTCAACGACAAGCAGCGAGCAACCCTCGATGCCTCGCGCCAAGCAGCGCCAGGGCTTCACGTTACCAGACGAGGTTACTAGGCAATAACGGCTCCTGTTTGTCGTGCGTCCTGCCCAGGGAGCACACCTCCTTCCCAACCCCTGCTCATCTCCAGCCCGTGTTATCGTCTTCCCTCTTCCCTGGCCTGTGTACCCAGGATTTACCAACTCGAGACGTTGCGCAAGCTGCCAAGCTGCCTGGTCCAAGCCCATCGCCATGACCCCCCTGGCGATCCCACCTGGATATGATCACGGCTTGGGAAGCCAGCGACCACAAGCTGTGCGCTATTGTGCTCCCGCGGTTGGACGACCGCAAAACCCCAGCCCCTGAACATGTTGCTCCAGCATGGAAAAGACAAACATGCGTTGTGCAACCGATTCTCGAGTGCCGAAACCAGCTCGGCTCACCTGTTCTACGCTGTGGCCCGGCAGACGGAACCTTGAAGCCGAGCAGGAAAAATCCCCTCACTCAGAACAGCCCCGAACAAGCTACACGAGCAGCTAGCTGGCCGACTGGAGCAACGGCATCGCCTCGGTGTCTGTGCATGACATGCATTCTCTTATATAGACTCGACAGGGGGCGGTCTTCCTGGCTTTCCCCGTCCAGTGTTATCGAGTCATCTCTCCTTTCTGCTTAACCGTCCACTCGCTCCGACGGCCTCTTTGCTGCACTTCCCATTCGCTCGCTCTCTCGCTGCAAAGATGCGCAGCTCGCAACTTCTAGCCATCGTAGGACTGTCCGCCCTGGCCTCCGCGGCGGCCCGGGTGCGGACCTCGAACCCGAGCCCTCGACACGATGAGGGGCAGCCGGGCGTTCTGAAGACGTCGGTCCGTCGCGTCAAGACGCCCGAGAGCCGCAGATCGCTCTCGCAGGCGCGCTACTTGCACGCAGCCGCCATGCATGCCCGCCAGGTGGACAACTCGTCGGCGCCGCTGCCCGCCAACGTCAGCAACATTCTCTACGGCTACGAGTACATCATGGACGTCCAGGTCGGCACCCCGCCACAGAACGTCAGCCTCATCTTCGACACGGGCTCGGACGAGACATGGGTCAACCCAGAGTGCGACGCCTTCAGCCACCAGGCCGTCTGTTTCGCCGCAGGCCGCTACAACGCCTCGGATTCGACCACGTCGCAGAACCTTTCGGCCCCATTCTCCATCACCTATGGATCTGGATCCGTCGAGGGCTGGTACTTTCGTGACAGCTTTGCCATCGCAGGTACGACACCTCACGACCAACACGACATGCATTTATCCCCCATCCCCGTTGTAGACACATGCCAGGGTGCCGATGGTTGACACTATCTTCCTTCTTTCCTTACAGGCAAAACCGCGTCGGCCGTCCAGTTTGGCATGGCCAAGTTGTCGTATAACATGGACGCTGGCATTCTCGGCCTGGGCTATGACAGTGTGGTCCTCGACGAGCTCAAGGGCCAGGGCGTAGTCGAAAGCAAGGACTTCAGCATCTCGCTGGGTAACAGTGTCTCTGCCCAAGGTATGTTAACTTTGGAGCCTTTTGCTCCTCCTCACGACCGTCGGCACTAACACCGCCCGTACCATCCAGGCCAGGCCGTCTTCGGTGGAGTCGATACTGCCAAGTTCTCGGGGCAGCTCCAAGCGATACCTATGCTCGAGACTCAGAGCTTTTTCAGCGAGTCCCTTCAGTAAGTTTGCGCCCCTTCTCTCTTCGTGTCTAATATATCTTGCTGACCCTGGCCGCAGCTACCAGGTTAACCTCACATACATGGGAGTCACAAGCAAGGGGTCATGCGAGTCGACAGCGGCCACCGACGAGAGCTTCTGGGGCCCCGCCATCGTCGACACGGGCAGCACCATCAGCCACCTGCCGTTCGACGCCGCCAACCTGACTGCGGCCATGATCCCCGGCGCCCGCTTCGACTCATACCTCCAGCTCTGGAAAGTCAGCTGCCACTACGCCGACTCGGCAGACACGGTGGACTTTGGCTTCGGGGACGTCGTCGTCAACATCCCCATCCGCGAGTTCATCTGGCGCAACATCCCAGGCGGCGGCCAGTGCTTCCTCGGCATGGTCGGCGATGCCGACTCCATCGGTGTCTCCGTCCTGGGCGATAGCTTCTTGCGCGCGCTCATGGCTCTGTACCAACCCGATCTCAAGCTGCTCCATCTGGCCCCCTTTTCCGACTGCGGGACTGATATCGTGCCGACGACGGAGGACGGCGTCGATGCCCTCGAGGGCATGTGCGAGCAGCCAAAGTGGGATACGTGCACCTACCGCCCAGCCCCAGTGCCGCTGACCGTCTCGTCTGACGACTGGTCCACTCTCTCATGGGTCACCGCGACGCCCACCGAAGAACCCCCGCTGGCTTCCGAGACGGATGGATTCACGACAATGATGCCGCTTCCCGTGCCTCTCAGCGATGGCACAGTTGTTACAATTAGCGATACGGTGGTGCCTACATGGCCGGCCGAACCGTCTGTCGTGGTCGAGCCGTTCCCTACCGAAACACCCGTTGACACTTGGAGCCCGGGCTCGATCCTCACCGACATCAGAGGCTCCGCGACAGCTAGAAAGACCAAGTCCATGTCGTATCACGGCACTGCAACTGCAGCCATGAGCGCGCCAGGATCGCTCTTGACCGTCAACATAGGCTGCCACCCGACGAGTTTCTGCGTCCTGGCGCTCAGCACGGACGAGATCGCGGGCGTGACGGCCAACGAGGAGTGCATCACGTACAGCACCTGCGACGGCGGGCCGGGCGGCAGGGACCCCACGCCAACCTCGACGGGCTGGGGCGACGACACGACTGTTGCCGACCCGATACCCACCCTGACCCGGCCTTATGTCACGCCGATTGATGCCACGGGGACAGGCCGCTACGCAAAATGCACGGGCGTTGTCTACGTCACGGTGACGACTACCGTAGGGGATCTTGTGCCTGGGGACGACGGCTTCTGTACCGCTCGACAGGGGTGAAGAGCCAAGGCGATGCCGACGAGGATGTTGGGGTATATCTTGCCGGGTGCGTCCGTTGCGCACAGCGAGGATTTCGATGGAGTTGAGGTCTTGCCTAGGTGGCGAGGAGCTCGGTGGTGATCCTAGAGCTGGTTGAATGTCAGATTCACCTCCTGAGATGAGACGGAAGCACAGCCAAAGAAAAGTTATCATTATCGATCGACATTGTTTGCGTCCATGTGCCCCGTGCATATGCTGCCTTTAAAGAGTCGCCTAGAGTACAAAGTTCAAATGCCACCAGCTGCGTGGCGAGATATACCGAAATGGATGGTGCTAGTCGTACAGCTACTCGTCGGCGTCGGGGAGCTCCTCATCATCGTCGTCATCGTCGTCGTCGTCGTCGTCGCCCTCGCCGTCCCCGCCACTGCCGTCCTCGTCGCTCGAGGACCCCTCGCCCTCGCTGTCGCCGTCGCTTCCGGGGTCGTAGTCCTCCTCGTCCTCGTCCTCTTCATCCTGCAGCAGCTGCTCGGCCTCCTTCTCGGCCCGCTCCAGCTCCGTCAGGCCGTCATCCTCGCCGGGCGCGCCGCCGCCGCCCTCCCCGTCGTCGCCCTCACCACCCGCGGCCGCCATCGCGCCACCAGCGGCGCTGCCCTTCTTGGCGTTCTCGGCCAGCTCCCGCTTGGCCTTGCGCTGCTCGGCCATGCTGCGGTCCTGCAGGCGGTGCTTGGCGACGTAGTTCTGGCTGATGCCTGCGTAGTCCTCCTGGTCCAGCATGGAGAACTCGAGCTCGTCGGTCGCGCTGTCGCCCAGGTCGACCTCGACGACGATGTTGAAGGTGCGCTGCAGCACGCTCGTGTAGCTGAGGGCGACGACGCGGTCGAGAGGCAGGAACAGCAGCGGCTTCTTGAAGCCCCACAGCACGCCCGTGGGCAGGAAGAAGAGGTAGCCCTCCTTGGAGCCGCGGAAGGCGCGCACGTGCACGGCCTTCTCGGCGGGCCGGTGCGACTGGCGCACGGCGCTGGCGAAGACCTTGGCGTCGGCGCACACGAGCGGCACGGGCGACGTGGTGTCGGGCGACGGCGAGTGGTACTTGTGCGCGATGCGCAGGAACTCGGCCACGGCCCAGTGGAACAGCGACGAGTGGCTGTCGGACACGACCTGGGCTTGCCCCGCGAGCCGGCCCGAGACGCTGCCGGCCTTGGGCGCCGTGGCGGGGACGGTGAAGACGAGGGGCTCGGGAGACGGGGAGGTCGAGGACGGGAGGTAGGAGCCGCGGGGGAACAGGATGTAGTTCCACTGCTGCTGAGCCTTTTCGGGGATGGGGACGTAGAAGGCGTGCTCTGTCGACATGCGCAGACGTTAGTTAGACTAGCGGGCAGGGCGAGACAGAGGAAAAGCGCATGGACATGCCTATGTCGGCCCAGCGGTAGACAAGGCCAGCGACTGGGTTCGTGTCGTCCTTTGTGCGGGCGTAGAGGTAGCTTTTGGTGAAGCAAAGATTCATCTTCTTGCGCTGTGGCACCACGATAGATATTTCCTTAATTTCAAGCTGGAGCTCCTCCTCGGTAGCGGCCTCGGCCAAAGCGGCGACGTCGGCAGCGGCGTCGCCCACCGGGGCGGAAGCCTTAGTTGCTGCTCCGTTGGGCGCCTTCTGGTCAGGGATGGGGACGGTTCCGTTGGTGTGGTCGTCGATGCCGTTGACACGACGGCGCTTGGAGGCGGGCTCTCCCGAGTCGGCCGCATCAGACAGGCGGTCGAGGACGAAGCTGGCAATGGTGTTGAACAGCGCCGCCGTTGTGAGGGTGTCCGCGGCGGCTTGTATGCCCTCGACGATATCGGGGCGGGCTTGGAAGACAAGCGCCAGCTTTTCGGCGTCGAGCTGGTCTCGGCACGCCATCGTGGGCGGCGGGTGATTTCCGCAACGAGCTGGCCAGTAAGCGGAAGCGATAATGATATCAGCAGAATTCGACGTGGGTTGTGGACGTTGGCGACGGGAGCTGGTGTTGTCGCGCTCGGGATCCAAACCAGACTTCATGCGCCCAAATTCTCGACAACTCGACGCGTTGATTGGCTTTCTGCTGCGCTCCCACAGCACACACCGCAGGGCTTGTTGAAACCCCTGGCAGCCCCCACCCAAGCCGATTTAATCTACTGTACCCTCCTGTCCAGCCCTGGCCACGTCCGGTTGGACTTTCATCGCTCCAAACTCCCTCCTGCCAACTGGTACATTCAAGGCTTGGTATCCAACAAACCAAAGCGCGTATGGGTAGATGTCAAGTTCCTTTTGGCCGCCATCACCCTGGCGCCTAGGTGGGAGGCCGTGTGAAGCCGAGCGACGTCCGAAAAACTTTTGGTTGCGTGCCTCTACTTGAGGCCCCACTCAGCCGCCCATTGACCAATGGGACGGTGCGGTTTGATGGGCTCCTGCGACAAACGTTAATGCTCGAGTTCATCAGTGACGTTGAGTCAGTCGAAATCTCCACCAAAGCCAAATCCATGTCACCCCTCCAAGCTCCCGCGGCCACCGTAAACCAACCAACGTCACCCCTCCCACGACAAAAAAACCAAGCAAGAGGATAGGAGACCTCAGCAGCGATCATGGCCGAACAACAATCCCACGAGAAGAAGGCAAACATGCTCTGGGGAGGCCGATTCACGGGTGCGTGCGACCATTTAAATCTCTGTGGCCTTTCCTTTGGCTAACATGGCTTGCGCCCAGGCGGCCTCGACCCGCTCATGGTGGCATATAACGAGAGCATCTACTTCGACAAGAACATGTACCGCCAAGACATCCTCGGTAGCATAGCCTTCGCCCGCGCCAACTGCAAAGCTGGCGTCATCAGCCAAGACGAGTTCTCCAAGATTGAAGTTGGCCTGCGCGAGGTGGAAAAGGAGTGGGAGGCCGGTACCTTCAAGATCGTGCCTGGGGCAGACGAGGACATCCACACGGCCAACGAGCGGCGGCTAGGCGAGATCATTGGCAAGGACGTGGCCGGCAAGCTGCACACGGGTCGGTCGCGCAACGAGCAGGTGGTGACTGACATGCGCATGTGGCTGCGCGACGAGCTGCGCAAGATCGAGCAGCACCTCGTCAGCTTCCTGACCGTGACGGCGGCCCGGGCCGAGCGCGAGCTGGACCTCGTCATGCCCGGATACACGCACCTGCAGCGGGCCCAGCCCATCCGCTGGAGCCACTGGATGCTTTCCTACGGGCTCGTCTTCGCCTCGGACCTGGAGCGCCTGCGCGAGGTGATCAAGCGGGTCAACCGCTCGCCGCTCGGCTGTGGCGCTCTCGCCGGCAACCCCTTCGGCATCGACCGCGAGATGATGGCCAAGGAGCTCGGGTTCGACGGCCTCATGTGGAACTCGATGGGCGCCGTGGCCGACCGCGACTTTGTGGCTGAGACGCTGCAGTGGGGAGCCATGTTCATGCAGCACATCAGCCGCTGGGCCGAGGACCTGATCATCTACTCGACGGCCGAGTTCGGCTTCGTGCGCCTGGCTGACGCCTACTCGACGGGCAGCAGCCTGATGCCGCAGAAGAAGAACCCCGACAGCCTGGAACTGCTGCGCGGCAAGAGCGGGCGGGCGTTTGGGCACATGGCCGGCTTCATGATGGTGCAGAAAGGCCTGCCGAGCACGTACAACAAGGACCTGCAGGAGAGCATCGAGCCCATGCTGGACCACGTGCGCACTGTCTCTGACAGCATCCAGATCGCCGAGGGCGTGCTCGCGACGCTCGAGGCGCGCGGCGACCGCATGCGTGCGGCGCTGGACCCCTTCATGCTGGCCACCGACGTGGCCGACTACCTGGTGCGCAAGGGCGTGCCGTTCCGCGAGACGCACCACATCTCGGGCCGCTGCGTAGCGCTGTCAGAGCAGACCAACACGCCCATGGACAAGCTCACATACGAGCAGCTGCGCCAGATCGACGCCCGCTTCGAGCCAGACATTGCCGAGTCCTTCGACTACGACCGCAGCGTCGAGATGCGCACGGCCAAGGGTGGCACAAGCAAGGAAACGGTGCTCGAGCAGGTCAAGGTGCTGAGGGGCATGCTGGAGTGAAGGGTTTGTTTTGAATTTGCGATTAGAGGCATATGAGCTCAATACAAGTAGCAAAAAGAAAGCCGTCTGTTTTAGGCTGTTGTTTCAAGCCAATGCCCATGGATAAATCATGGTCGAGTTGGGGAAAGAATGGTGTAAGTGCAATTCTCAGCACATGTGGACCTTCCCAGTGGTGTTTAGTTATTTGTTGTGGATGCAGCGCCCCGCCTACCACCAAGTGCTGGGTTCAATTGAGGGGCAATCAGGTGCCAGGCCCGACCTCGGGACAAGCACTGGAACCAATCGAGCCCAACGACGGCCATCGATTAGCACAACAACCTCACTCCGTTGACGACAGACGGCAGCACCATGGCATCCGCCGCCCCCTTCCCCAACGTCTACACGCGCCGGCTTGTGGCCGACACGGCGGCCAAAGGCTGCGACATCTGCTACAAGCCCAGCACCACGGTCCTCATCACGCCCAACAAGCAGGACTTTTTCTATGTGTGCCCGATCCACCTCAAGGACGCCAACTTTGCCAGCCCCATCGTCGACCAGGCCGCCATCGACGCCAAAAATAAGAAGGAACTAGACGACGAGGTAGAGCGCCTGAAGAAGGAATACGAGGAGAGGCAGAAGAAGAAGAAGGAGAAGGAGGAGGAGGCAAAGGAAGGGGACGGCAAAAACGACAAGGACAAGGAGAAGAAGGAAGAGGAAAAAGATGACAAAAAGGACAGCAAGAAGGACGAGCCCTCGGCCAAGGTCCGCGCACCACGCTCTATGGAGGCCGCCGTCTGTGACCCAGTGCACTGACGCCCAATTGACCATTGCAGGACAATGCCAGCAAGTCGGACGGTCCTGCGACGCCCCCAGCGGGCGAAGAGCCTCGAGTCTTTGCGTTACGACAGTCGGGGCCCCTCCCTTCCCTCTAGCTGATACATCCGAACGTGCATGGCTAACCTATTGCTATGCACTTGACTCATAGGGGCTTCTACAACGCACGGGTCGACAAGAAGCGGCAGATCGAGACGAACCGGCGGAATCGCGAGCGCTTGACGGACCCCAACTTCTTCCCAGCCGTACCCAAGGGAAAGCCCGTGTGATGGGTGACAGACGCGGCGACTCCCAATTGGTACAAGGCCAGTCGTGCTGTGGTTTTTGTGACACGATAATGGCACACCTCTTTGCAGCCAAGCGCCGCACGACCTTTCCCTTCAATGCCGGCCCACCCACCATAGTCGACTCTTGAACCTCGATCGGGAAAGGCTGTGGAAGCCCCTCTTTCGCCCGCTTGTCTCTATCGAGATTGCGGGGTGGTGTGTGGTCCCCGGCAACGAATGGTTAACACGTTGGACAAAGGACAAGACAGGTTGGCCGTCCCATCTCCTGCGTCTCCGGTTCGTGGACCAGCTCTCTCGGGCCCGCATCAAATGGGCCGCCGTCAGCCGCGTGCGTCTAGTCTATGCGTGGACCTGGGAAGGGATACACACCCCATAGACGTGCCCTGCCAACGAGGCCCGCGTTTTACTGCTTTTATCCCTCTACATCGGGATGCTAGCTCCGGCGTCAGCAAAGCTGATGCTAAGCCCGCAGGTCTCGTGAACGCTCGGCCCTGCACGTCTTCGGCCTGTCGTTGTCGGGCACAGCTATCACGGATCGGCGGCAGCTGGCACCGCCGGCCAAAGCATACCGGCCACGTCTCACGGGCGTAGTCGGGGCAAATTGGATGTCTTGGTTTACCCTACTTCGCACCTGGCTCCCTATTTGCTTCCGATGCCTTGCATCACCATAGCCGTCCATCTCACCCTGCTTTCTGCCAACATTGGCTTGCGTAAACCCTTGCTGTCCGGGTTGGTGAGGGACCGAGCGCGACGAGGTTATGCTGCGGGTTTTCGCCTCTCTCACGCGGCTCCCTTGTGCTGTTCGACTGCCGCCCTGGTCTGGCATTGTTATCAGCCCGGTCGATCCTTGCGTGACGTAGCACACCCTCTTTCCTTGTCCATTGCTCGCCTTACAGGGCTATTCGGCGGGACGGGACACGGCAAGCATGGGCTTCCTGAGCTCTGCAGCCTTGTGCAAAGCGGAGCACGCAGAGTCAGACCCAGCCGCAACACGCTAGGGCTGGTGGCGATCACTGATCTTCGCTTGTCACAACCAACCCCTCCCTTGGCAGCACCGTCCGCACGTCCAGTTGGCCCGGGATGAAAGGTCAGCCTGCAGCAAATGTATGGGCCTCATGGCCAACGTCGGAAGGGTGCATCCCTTGGTGACCATGTGCCTCCCCACGGAGCCTCGCTTTCGAACGCACCCACTCCCGGCCGGCTTTTCCTCTTTCAATCTTCCAGGACCGAGGGATTCTGTGCGAGCCCCGCTGCAGCAGCACATGCGGCAGACCAGAAGCCGCAATCAGTCTAGTGCTTACGTGCTCTCGGCCGACGTGTGCGCATGTACATGGCCTTCGCCCAGTGATAGCCCTGCCAGTATCTGACGCGGGCCCCACCGCTCTCGTGGCGGCCAGGCGTCTGACAAAGCCTGTCTGGACAGCTGGGTTGTTGCGCGGCCACTTGGGCTCACGTTGAGCGGCGAGAATACGATTCCCCCGTTCCCGGAGCCTCACCTCGTGCGAATAACGACGGGGCGAGCTGGGTGGAAACCAGCTAGGGTCGCGGCGGTATGTTCCGTCTGACGGCACAGTCGGCGGAGGGGCACAGGGTGACAGGGCAACAGGATGCTTATTAGAACCAGGGATGATGGGCAGCAGGGGGACTGTGTCCGAGGACCCGCTCCACCAAGTCAAGACTGGGTGTATGACAGAAGGGCGTGCGGGTATAAAATGCGCATCTTTGAAAGCAACAGCCGAAGACGGTGCACACAGTGCCGCCTGCGCAACCGTCTGCTGTTCCGGACTAGGTCGTTGGCTTCCGGCACCACTGCGTCCCAGGCCGCAGCGCTATCGCCGACGGCGCCGGCGTTAGCCAAACCTGATGGCGTGCCGGCCTGTCTCGGCTCTACTGCTAGGTATCGATCGCCTGCCTCAGATGGCCTGCGGCCCTTGACCGCCGCCACCGCCGCCCGCCCCGCCCCGCCGCTCTTCCTCCTCATTTGCGTGTCCATATAAGTGCCCGGTGACACATGGCCGCCCCGCCCGCCGCGGGTCTGCCGCGGGTGTCAGCTTGGGGAGAGACGCTTGCCTGCAGGAAGGCCTAGAGAAATAAATGGTCTTGGGTGCTGGCTGAAACCAAGATTGGGCATCGCCAAGTACCAATTGGGGGCGGCGGGATTTTTTTCTTTTTGGTTGTTGTCGATGCAGGCGTAATATCTCATCTCGGTCCGATCTCGCCAACCATAGCCCCTCGCCCCGCCATTCCGTAGATCCAAGACTCGAGGAGCGGTGATCCCGCATCCCGCGCCCCGATATAGAATATGCCCCGATATAGAAGCGGCACAGGGAAGGAGGGAAAGGGGGGAAAAAAAAGAAAAAAAAAACTGCCGTGCAGGCGGTCAAGAGGGACCACCCGAGAGAGAGGCAGCCAAAGCGATGTGGGCTGGAGGCGCGGCCTCGAGAAAAGGAGTCAGCATGAGACCATGACATGGTATGTGTGCGTCGTACAGTTTACCAATCACATAAGCCCGCGTGTGTGCATGCGGCTTTTTTTTTCTTTTTCTTGTGAGTTTGAGGCTCCAAGATCGAACACGAAGATATTCTGCCCCCAAGGGCCTGCACATACCCGAACCGCATACAGCGGCCGAGCCAGGGCTGCGAGACGGAACTTGAGGGCAGCAGGGCGACCAGGCCTTGGTCATGCCGGGTTGCTGCACGGAGATGATGCCAATGAGGTGCTACCCCATTATGGGGTTAAATTCCCATCACGTCACAGTTTACGAGGGGGGGTGCCGGGGTGTGTCGGGGCCTATCAGAGAGTGCTGTTCGTAAAACAAAAAAGAGCTTGCTTGGGGTTGGAACAGGGCGGCGGCAGCACTGGCGCAAGGGCTCGCGGCACCGCGAGGGCCAACGATGATGCCGGAATGCTACCAGGGGGCGGGCTGTCGGGCAGGTCGGACAGCAAGTGGATGGACCACTGGTATCGCTCGTCAACATTGGCAAAAGAGGTAGGTACATGGGCACACCGTGCCGAAAGCCAGGGCTGGTTCGGCTTTTCCTTTTTGTGGAATTCTTTTTTTTTTACACTATGTACAACGGGCATCACAGGTTCTCCTTGCGGAGAGATGGCGGCATGCGGATCCCGAGGGCAGCCCTCGGGTCCGAGGCGCCCTTGTCGACCCCGCCGCCGGGCAGGCTGGCGGCGACGGCCGGCGGCGCGGCCGCCACCTCGTCCACCTTGCTCTTCTGCAGCGAAAGGGCCGGGCAGACCCACTCGCCGCAGCTGCACTTGAAACCCTGCCAGGCGTAGCGGCCGATGGAGGCGCCGCACCTGGCGCCCGGGCAAACCAGGCGGCCCTCGAGCTCGCCAGCCTCGAGTACGGGGCGCATCCACGACAGCGGCTCGACAAAGACGTGCGGGCACGCCGTGTGGCCCGCCGCGGGCTGGCGCTGGGCGTGCGCCACGACAAAACGGCCCGTTGTCAGCACGCGGCGGCACTTTTTGCAGCGCACCTCAAGCGCTTTTGTCCCACTCGTCCCCGTCCCTGCTGGTTCCACTGCAACTGTGTTGTCCTCCTCCTCTTCCGGCTGCACCTCATCCTCGAACCGGATCCAGTCCGGGGCGCGGCCGACGCGCGCGCTCTCCTCCACCTCGCGCCGGTACAGCCAGCGGCGGTATGTCGGGTGGCGGGCCACGGCATCATCGGCGCGGGCGGGCGTGCCCATGTCCCACCACATCTCGAGCTGGCGGGAGAAGCCGCCGTTGGGCTCGGCCATGGGCCGCGTGGCGCGCACCCACTCGAGTGCGGCGGCCACGGCGGCGCGCGCGGCCGACTCGCGGTCCGGGTTGTGGCGGCCAGCGCCGCCGAAGCGAGCCGGGTGCTTCCACAGCAGGTAGGCCAGCGTCGCCGTGACGGAGCGCGATTTGCCCATGGCGCAATGCACCAGGACGCCGCCGCCGCCGGGGGGCTTGCCAGCACCGTCGGGCTGGTTGGGGTCGGAGCTGGAGCTGGGGTTGGGGTTTAGGCCGGCGTCGATGAAGCGCACGATGCGCGGAAAGTGTACGAGCAGGTCGGCATCCTCCTCGTCGTTAACGTCGATGCTTAGGTGCTCGAAGCGGGCGCCGGCGAGGCCCTCTGCCTTGTCGAGGTCGTAGTCGATGACGGAGAGGATGTGGGTTACGCCGTGGTCGTGCAGCGTTTGGGCCTTGCGGAGGGCGAAGACGCTGGGGCGGGCGGGCCAGGGGGGTATTAGACTTGACGGCTGGACACGACGGGGGCTTGGGTTCGCTGGCGGGGGCTTACCCGCTGACGAAGAGGTTCTCGCCGCCGTTGATGAGAGAAAGGGCCATGTTTTTGCTGTTGTTAGTTTGCTGCCAATCTAAATTTTTGGCATCATTTTGCTTGGTTGGCGCGGCCAGCTTCCAACGCGGGGTACAGGCTGGACCCACAGCGTCCCCCACCCAGCAAGGCCGTCTCCACAATTTTCTTCTGTAGGGCTGGATGTCATCCTTGGACGACCTCCTCCTCAAAAGACAGCCCACAACTCGGACGGCTGTCGCGCCACCCTCGCTCGGACTAGTCGACAGCCATCCCATCGCCAACGCCAGCCTGCAGCGGTTGAAGTGCGTCCATGCGACCATGTAATTAAACGCCTGCCGCCGGCCTTGCATGGCTGTGGCCCCGTGCGAGCAGCATTGCCAGAAGCGGAAAGCCGCCGTGCATATTGATATTCCTTCCTGTCAAGAGGTGGTGGCCTTTGACGGCCTTGCATGCCACTGCCACGCCATCCTGCCGCTTCATATCTGTCCGGACACGTCGGACTTGCTTGCATGCACCTGCCTGCCTGCAGCAATCCTCCCACCAGACCCCCCCTTCCCCGCCCGTTCGTCAATCATCAGCACGGCGGACATGGATGGCGGCCGTAAAGGTTCACGTCCAAGGTCTGGAGCCTGGCGATCTGTCACAGTGGCTGTTGCCGAAGTTGGCACGCCATTCGTGCAAGCAGAAGAAAGCGACAGATCGTGATGCATTATCCCATATTGACACATCCACCATCAAAAAAGGCCCAGCACCACGCGACGACTGAGCGCCTGTGTGCCTCGACCGACCCTCGTCCCACAAACACCATGTAAGCTAGGCTTATGCAAATGCTGCAGATAGAAAGAGAGCATGCTCGCTTGCTTGCGTCGCCAATCGCCCCACCAAAAAAAAAAAAAAAAGCAAATGTATGCCCTCCATCAGTCGTAAGATGCTGTTCGCCAAGTGTGCTCCCAATGTCATTTTCCCCCTTCAACGCACCATCGGCACCGGCGGCTCCTCCTCGATCATGCACGCGTTCTCAAGCATGTTGGTCCACTTGCCACTGGTGCCCGCGTGGCTGTGCTTGAGGTGCTGCCGGAAGTGGTCCGCCCGGTAAAACTTCTTGCTCGCGTTGCACTCCCTGTACTTGTGTGCGTCCGTCAGGTGCCGGTGCCGCTCCTCCCAGTCCTGCTCGGTCGCCACCCAGGCGTTCCCTGCCGCCGCGCCCTGGGCTCCGGATGCCGACCCTGGTGGTCCGCTGCGCGCAAACTCCTTGCCGCAGTATCCGCACACGTCGGCCTGCCCGGGCTGTGTCGTGCTCTCGTGAAATGTTCGGTCCCAGCCCGAAAGCGCGCTGCACGACCAGCTGTGCCTCCGCACGTGCAGGCTGTTCTGGTGTCGCTCCGCCTCGTTCTTGTTCTTGAACCGGTTGCCGCAGAAGGAGCATTCGTATTGCTTCTCGAGCTCGTGGGCGCTGGAGGGGAGAGAGTGAAAACAAAGGTTAGAATTCGTAAAACATAAACACCACAAGCACGTAGCTAGCAGGTGCCCGACATACCTCAAATCCTCCTTGGTCTCGAACTTTTTGGGCTTCTTGGGACAGCATTCACACATGTAAAAGCCCTTTATTTTGGACACGGCCGTGCTGGGCTTGGCTACAACCTCGCTCAGCTTGCGCGGCGACGCCAGGGGCTGCCGGTTTTGGTCGCTAAGCGTCCGGTTGTGCGGCGTAGTCCGTGATATCGAAGAGCGAGGCGATGCAGTCAGCGACATGGGTGTCCCAAACGGCGACCCGCACGACGACTGATCCGTTGGTGACAGCCCCCCAGCACTCATGCCGCCAGGGGACAGCCGCCCGGCGCCGTTGAACATGCCTTGGCTCGACAAGCTGCTAACTTGTAGCGACAGGTTCGAAACCATGGAGCCACTTCGCCCGCCAACAGACGACATTGATGACCCATGTGGCAGCATGCTGAGCCGCGGCGTCGGGGACCCTCGCGACGCCCCGCCCTCGCGCCTCCTCAGCATGTCGTTGGACGACGGTATGCTGTACGGTTCATCCCCGCCGGGCGGTGAAGATGCTTTGCGCTTCGGCCGCACGCCTTGGTGATCTGCCGCGTCAATGTGGAAGCCCCTTAAACGTGTCGTCTCCTCCATTGGGAAGTCTGTGTCCTCGGCGATCATTTCGTAGCTGCCTTGGGTCGACACCGTCGAGTCGTCTGGCACCGACATGCTGTCGGTCCTCCTGACCCGCGGCACAGGCGATCGCTCAAAGTCCATGCCCCCATCCATTGGAGACCTGTGGTCCAAGGGCGTGAACGGCGTGCTTCGAGGCGACGCAGCCGAGGTCAATGGCGTTTCAGTGAACCTGCTGGGCGACTCCAGCATGGGCTGCTGCTTCGTCCTGGTCGGGAGCGACAGTGGTTTGAGCATTTGTAGGCGTTCCGGGGCAGGAGTCGTCGAGTGTCGCAGGCTGTCGCCAAGGGACGAGCCGAAGTTGGGCCGTTGTGTGGGCGAGCGATTGTTTAGGCTGCGGTGAGAATTGAGCTTGCTGAGTTGCGCGTTGTCGTAGGCATCGACAGACGGCTTCCAGGGCAATCTATCTGCTTGTGGGCCGAACCGAGAGGGTATCGAGTTTTGTGACCGACTAGAAACGGCAGTCAGTAAACACATCGCAACGATAGCTTTCGAGGTGCCATATTCAACAAATCATTCCGTCTGCAAACACGACTACAAACCCCAGTCACAGCATACCTTGAAGAGGCCATTGACGAGAAGCTGCCGTATCCCTCGTCCCGCTCTGCCTTTATCGGTGGCCAGCGGCCCGGCTCCCTCTTCACGCTCTCGGCCATGCTGCCATAGCCGGAGCCAGCCGACATGGACGGGTTGTGGCGGGTATATGGCTCGGGATATTGTGGATGGTCTCCTGTCGGGCCGTCGATGGGCACGAAGCGCGGTGGTGGAAGGGGCGGCGGCGGCTCGTCAAAGTTTCGGCTGTTTGGTATCGACATTGGTATTGAGGTGGACAGCGGCGGGGAGAAGTTGGAAAAGCCGGGTCTGCTTGATGGTACGCCAAAACCTCCTCTCCCGCGCGGAGGCGAGCTCCCGCCGATGAATATAGAAGGCATGGATGGTAGGCCGCCCGGCGGGCTCCTGTGCCTCGACGGTATCTCCATGTCTGCGATTGGGCGAGGCCCAGGTGGGTTGGCGGACGAGGACCGGCGGACGAGGCGAAGGAGAGATCAGGGGCAGCGGTTTAGGTCAGGGGTTGAGAAAGGTCAAGGCGGCCACGCCGCTGGTGATGCTTCCTGGACACTCAGCCGATCTAGCTGCGGTGCCTCGGCCTATCGAACAGGGTCAAACGTTTCGTGGGTGCACGCGTGTTTGCGAACTTGGACCCTGCGGCTGTGGTTTCTAGAGTTAGTATAGCCTGTCCCAGCTGTGGTTCCTGGAAGGTGCCGCGCCTGGTCGTAACACATCTGTTCGATCTTGGTCGTATTCGCATGGGCAAACAGCAGCTGGGTAAATATGCACCCGGGCATGACTGCGGCTGCTGCTGCCGCTGTGGACCACGGCGCACTCGCCACCTGGGCCACTGAGCAGAGAACGCGCAGGCCAGCTGCACAGGGGTGGGAGCAGGGCCGAAACTAGACCGAATGGATGGCTAGGTAAGGCACTTACGAGAGTGGAAGGACGGAGTGGCAGCGGCGGGCGGGACGGCGCAAGCAAGACCAATGCGTCATTGACCCGAGTTCGGTGCTCCCGAAGAGGAGGCCAAAGTGGGATACGCCAGGAAGAGACTGACGGAGGGGATGGGACGAGGACGGAGGACGGCGAGTCGGGTCGGGTCGATCAGGTGGTGGTGCAGTTCAGCGCAGGGCAGCGCGGTGCAGCCACGGTGCAGCGCAGTTGCGGTTGCAGTTGTGGTTGCAGCTGGGCTGGGCCGGACTGGGCTAGGCTGGGTTGTGGCTGGCAGGCACGTTGCGTGGTGGGGAGACTGAAGTCTAGTAAGACGACTTTGGCGGACGACGCAGAAGCAGCGGCTGGGAGGGTGGGCAGCTGGTATCTCGAGGTTGGATGTTTCAAGGTACCTAATAGCTGGCTGAGGCGTTTGTCTGGCTGAGTGAGGGTCTGGCGCTGGCGCGCGCGAGAGAAAGCATGCGGCTAGGGTCGTGGTTAATGATTCGGACCCAATCGAGTGGTGCACAGCAGCCGTTCAATGGTAAGCGGAGCGGTCTGGTCAAAGGCACTGGCCAGATTTGAATACACACTGGGGTGGAGGAGGGTTCCTGGCGGGGCCGACGCAGCGGTTTTCAGGGCAAAACCAGCAAAGCCAAGCGAGCAGGGAGGATCCCAGAGCGCGAGCAGAGAGCGAGACCCAGACGAGGGGGACTTTGTCGCACAGTGCCGCAACCAAGATTAAATTCAGGGCTGGGATCCGCACATGCAGAATTGCGAGGATCCGTCCTGATGATGAAGATGCTGGCCCCGCCACTGTGGAATTGATGGAATGCACCAGGAGAAGATGCGAGGGATCCGAGGAAAGGAGCTGACGGCAAGACGGGGCCACCAGAACAGCCAGAGCATCTGTAGTTTGCATGTTATGTAAATAAAAATAACAAACATACCTCGTGTCGTCCGACTGCAGAACAACCGCTTAAACGAGACAGACGGGGACGGCCACCAGAGGAGATTGTAAACAGGTCGCTCGCCACACAAATGTGCGCTAGGGAAAATAAGAAAGAAAACCCGACTAGGAATCTTTAATCCCTGCAGCGAGCAGTGTGCCTGTATCTTTTTTTTTTCTTTTATCCCCAGCCAGTCCAGTCGGAGTCGTGCCACCGCCAATAAACGGCTGGACCTGCGCCGAGTTCGGATAGTGTTCGGACAAGTGGGCTAAGCGATATCGCCTCCAATGTTCCTTCAGCTCGTTTCTTTTGTTGTTATCCCATCAATTTTCGCCCTTTGGGCGTGGATGGGGGCAACGGCGGATGACGTTCAGCCCTACTGCGCACAGTAAGGCCCTACCACACCCCTTGCTATCTCCTAACCCAGTTTGACCGCTCGGTCGGGGTCGGCGCTGTTTGGTGCCGGCGGTGGGGCAGCGCGCAAGCGACCGACAATACTCCCCGCTCCCGTAATTTTGCTGCTTTTCTTTTCCCCTTTTCTTATCCGCTGTGGATATTTGCTGTGGCCAGCGCTAATGTCGAGGAATTAAACGAGCTTTTAGCTCGCTAGGGAAGCTGTAACGTTGGAGAGTCGACAAAAAGAAAATTGGACAAGAAAAATGAAAGTAGGTCGTAAGGCTGACAGGAAAAGCGACGATGGTGGCGCGTGGGAACGGTGAGAAGGGAAAAGGGAAATAAACATAATAATAGCGTGGCATAATAAAAAAATCGGGAGTTCGGCAGTAATTGTGTATTTAACCCACGAGCTTTGCAACAACGCCTCAAGCGGCTTCTCAAAGCAAAAGGTTAGCTTGTTAAGCCAGGTTATATCAAACCAGAGTAGGTATTAATTATTGGCCGGACCCCGTTTCTCTTACGGCGCAGGCTACAAAGCCGGACATCGTGTGGTCGCCGGCAGGAATCTTGTTGGTGGCTGGCGGCCAGCAGGGTGTTACTGGGCGTGTGGGCTTCATGTCTCCCGCCCAGCAGGACACAGTGCGGTGCACGGTGGTCTCTTGCTATGGGCATGGGCTAGCCGGACTGTCTTTTCCCTGGCTTTTCCTACACCCCTTGCCCTGAGTCGACCCGTTTCAAACGGGCGGGTAAGGCAATAAAAAGCCAGCGCGAACAGGGGTGGGAGGGGGTGTGTGTGCCGAAGCCGAGGAGGGGTTCCTCCCTGCTGGTGTCCAATGCTGGCGCTTGGCAGGAAAGAGGGGTGCTGACATTTTATTAACGGTGTCCCTTCTGGAAACTCGCTGGAAGCTCACCCATTTTTTTTTGGGATGGAGCTAACGGTACTTGTGTACCTACTGTAGCTGCTTCCAAAAAGCCACCACCCAAGCACTAAAGCAGCAGCAGCAATTTCGCGATTTGAACGAGGCAAAAAGCGGGCGCACGGGGAGAAAACACGCCAGCGGGCAGCGACTTGTTTTCTGCTGCTCCTTTCCTATTCTTCCCCAAGCCGTTTATGTTTGCGGTTTAAGGCTGAACCTTGAACCCCGCTGTGTCCCCACCCATCTCGCCGTCGGCGTTCGCAAGGACTACACGCAAAAGGACTCGAGCTAGTTAGTACTAGTAACTGTGCTGTGGGCTTGCCATCCATGTTGCTGCTCCTTTGAACACTACTTTTACAAACAGTCGGTCCTTCAATACATACAAACAGCCCAGGTTAAAAACAGCAAAGCCTGGGCGAGGCCCGAACGTTTGTTATCAACTTGTTAGCAAAGCAGAGCGCACCGCTTGGAGCTAATCTCTCGGCAAAAATACAAGAAATTAGGCTCGTGGCTGCAGTTCCTGGTGCCGTTGGCTGCAGCTTTGGTTCTGCCTTGCTTGGGCTAAGAATGGCCCCGGATTCGCTGGCAGCTCGTGCGCGCCTTTATCAAACTAGCACTGCGGCTGCGCGTTTTGGCCAATACTTGCCCCCAAGCGTTTAAATAACAAAGGTGCCCTGCTAAGATCCTGGAACAGCCCAAGCCACAGCAGTGATCTTGGTCGCAAGCAGATTTTGATATACAACTTGCTGCTTAGCTATACCCCGTTTGCCATCTCTTTTTTTTTTCTCTCCTCCTTTGGCATTATTACCCGTCCATCTAACGTATTGCTCGCCCCGCAATGCTCGCCGCCTCTGCCTTACAAGGTTGGGGCTGTCCACCGCTCGCCAAATGGGGATAAGACTAAGGAACCGGCCCTGTTTGTCGCACGAGTTTAGCCCACCAAGCGTCGGCCCCATCCTACTTTCTAGCTAGTTGCCAGCAAGAAAAACCCTTGCATTAAGGAAGCTCTTCAAAGCTGTGCCCGCCATTGCCTGCCCTGCTGTTTTCTTTGGAATTTACAACATTTACCCGCTAAGCTTTGCTCGGCTCCTAAGTCCATCGAGAGTCGCAGCGTGAGTAATCGTGATGCTAGCTTCCTTGTTTCTCGTAATTAAATTACTATGCTACATCGTCGGCGGCATCGTTCCGTCGATTTGGGCTTGCTTACCACACTATGGGCCCTCACTAAGCCGGCCTAGCTGGGCGATACATTGCCAAAACTAGCCCAAAGGACACCAAGCAAACCGCTCCTGGGCTCGCTGGTGTCTTAACTGTCAGCGCTAGTTAGGTTAGGCCTGTCGGCGACTCTCGGGCCCGGCGTGCGTCCTCGGGAGCTGTCAGGTTAGCAAAAAACATTGACTCGAACCAACAACCGCCCGAACTAGCTCAGCCCTACGGCCGGTCCTTGTTCCTTCCCCCCGAGGCTGCCCGCCACCTACTACTACCCCCAAAGGCCTGGGTTTGTTTCACGTGGTGGGGTGGACGGGCAGGGTGTGCTTTCGGCCGTGGAGTCTCGACTCGACATTTGGACATTTTTACTCGCAACTGCGGCAGCCCTGTTTGGTTTCGGGATTTGTTTTGTCCTCAACTGTCTCGTGCGCGACACGCGTATGTAGGTTTGGCATGCCAACGCCAACATATCCATTTCACGTCCTGATGCGCGGAACCATCGACTTACACACAGCCGCGCGCTTCCGTCGGGCCCTTGGGAGTCAAGTCGGTCAAGTTGCCACAAATCATTGATAGGTGGGAGGCTTAAACCCTGGCCTCGACTCGGCGACGCACGTACAGGTGTCTTGTCACAGTGCTGCCGTATCTCTTCTTCTCCTACCTATTTCACTGGGAGCTATTTCCTGTTCCCAACGCTCAATTAATTGCACAAGCAGAAAAGGGGCTGAAGGTCGCCTCCTGTGTGGGGCTGAGCGGGTTATGCTACCTAATCGAGAAAATTGATGGATACCGTCGAAAAATGCAACGCCGGAATACTTTACTGTACATGGGAAAGCCCACCATTTAAAGGGCGCGTGATCGACACTCGAGTCGGATGTAAGCGATGGGTTGGATGCTTTGGACTCGGTTAGATTCCGGACCCAGACCGACACCAAGCAGCAAGCCAGGATTGCCTCGACTCCCTCGCACCTTGCCGGGACCTTGTCGGGCAAATAAATTATCCATGTTCCTCGGGTGCAAGGTTGGGGGTCGGCTCTGCGGGTCACTTGGCCGTGGGCAGGCAGGTTACTGTGCGGATGGGGAAGCTCGTCGGCATGTGCGGTTCGTAAATTTGGGTTGTCTTGGTCGACAACGTTAGCTTAGGAGGCGAGGCGACCTGCTTGGCTGCCTGGCTGCCGCGCAGTGGGGAGACCCAGGCGCCATGCGACGCACACGACTCGCGCCGTGGAGAAGGGTATGCGTGCCCTACGAGGTTCATGCTGGACGAGTCGATGGGGTCTGGTCCAATCTCTTTGCAGGCTGTGTATGCGCTGCAGCTGCAAGTGCTTTCCTGGAAGAAGCACCTTGCCACTCGGCACGGCCGCTCGAGGCAACATGACGTAGCGGCTAGCTAGCTGGCATAGTTGGCTGTTTGGCGGATGGATGGGTGGCATCTTGTCGTCGCCTTGGATTGTCTCGGCTCCTCCACGAAACGGGGCGGTGCAGCAGAAGGGGCATACACACCCAAGCACACACACGTACGCACACACACGCATGCACACCGCACACAAACGTAAACACAAACATGGACATACACACGCAGGGCGACAATGGCGCCAGCAGAAACGATGGGACTGGGCCCACCCCAGGTTGGGCCGGCGAGATGCTGGCACCCTGCCACGCGCCTCGCTAGAAACTGCACCACGGCTCGACTACGCTGCAGGTTTGGTTTGTTTTGCACGGTAGTGGCGGACGGAATTTTCCGCTTGGCCAGGGGGCGAAGCGACGTTGCAGTTACTGCAAAAGCCATAATCCATCCCATCCCTATGAAGTGGGAGTCGCTTGTCGCCGGCCGTGTCAAGTAAAGGACAGGGGGGCGGACCTGTTGCCGGTTTTTAGGTCCATCTCCGGCAACCGTGCCAAAAGCCCTCCTGTCCTTTTGGTCCGGCTATCCATGGCTTTTTTTTTTTTTTTTGGCTTAACGAACCACGCCGGGCGCGGTGGGCCCCGAGCCACCCCCTGGGCGAAAGATGCCGGTTCCAAAAGCGACAAGGCTGGTTCTGGAACGGAGCACTCGTGTCTGCCGCCTGCTAAACGTGCTCAACCGCAGGGAGGCGCCCGCCAGTGATGCCTTGCTGCTGGCCCCGTCATCGGTCCAGAAAGCTTGACTCTCGACGGCGCCGGGGAAACCCCTGTTTGTCCGCCCGCCCCCGAATAGCCCTATCTGTTCGGGGGAACTCTTGCTTTCCGTGCGAGGGCGGACAAAGCCAGGAACGTAACTGACAAGATGCCAGGCCATCGATGCAGTCGACGGGCGCGAGCAGCCGTTGGGGCAAAAACACGCAGCACGAGCCGGAACAGTAGCAGATCGCCTGCCCACGCCGGAACGCGCAATTTCCCAGCGGCAACCCGTTTCGGCGCCTCCCTCTTCCGGCCGTCTCCGTACAGTGGTTTCCTTGCCTCGCCGCTGTCCAAACAGCCACCTCCTTGAATTTGAGGGAGCGAGTGTGCGAGTGTGTGAACATGGAGCCCACATTTTGCGACTTTGCGAACGCACTCCCGATTCCTCACCGCTTCGGCATATCGCCCCAGAGGCTAGCGGTCCCGCCGGTGCTGGCGCCCGCTCGCCTTACGAGGTTGGCGGCCTGCAGGTGCGGTGGCACGCACCGTGAACACGAGCAAGCCGAGCTGCGGGTACCCGCCGTGCTCTGTATGGACGAACGGATGCATTTACTGCCCAACAAGGTCCCCGTCCTCCAACTTTCTGTTTATATGCCTCCCAAGCGCTCTTGGCGTTTACCTCTGAACCGTGTCCGTCCAGCAGAGCATTTGGCAGACCACACACCACCTGCTGCAGCCCTCAGCCCTCCAACGGTCAACTCCAGTCTTGCCTCCTTATTGCCGCCCCTGCTTCCCGGATCTGCAGCCCCATGCCTCATCGGGGGGCGGGAAAGGCGGGGTAACGGCGGTGTGGCGTGCCGCCGTCGTGGAACCTGGTTACTGGCGCCAAGTCCTGCAGCTGGCAATTAAGTGGCTGGTGGCTGTGGATAATGGGCGCGTGGTCGGCGCGTGCTTCCCTGCTTTTTGTCCTTGGAGGCGGTTGACGGCAATCGTCCCTCTCGCCGTCTTCCGCTCCTGTCGGGCTGCAGCCTTGCCTGCAAAGGGAAAGCAGAATCGTCCAAACGACCGTGTCTTGGCACGCGACATGCCCTTAAGCCATTTCGCATTTCATGGCCGCTGCAACCGCAATCTTCGCCCGAGGCCACGTCGGCCGGCTACAGGCAGCTTCCATTGGTTCATACACGGCCCCTTGATGTCCCTTTCTCCTGCAGCCCGGCGCCCACTCGGCCGGGACGACCTCTTTGCCACCGCTTGCGTCGCCGTGGCAGGCCCGATTACAACACCCCGGAGCTGAGTGAGCGAACGCTGTCTGATGCAAATTTCGCATCGCGCGTGCCTCTCAGTCCGTCGGCGGCCTCCTAGGACAACCGCTGGCCGTCCGAGTTGCGTCCACGGTGGGTGGCGAGAAAGGCGCGCGCGCAATCCGCCACTACACGCCGAGGCTGCCATGGCTCCCGTGCTGTCGGATGATTCCACAATTACGAGGTTCCCTCTTCCGTGGTCCTTTTGTTGTTTCCTTTTGCTGTGCCTTGGCTCCCACTGCAGCCAAGGTTGGCTCTGCTTCCACTTCCAGTGTGTTTTGCTGCCAGAATGCTGGCGACGGGTCGCTACCCTTTCTGGAACGCTCTTCCTCCCTCAAACATTTGATTTATGGATCGACTTTAACAAGCAAGCAAAGCGGCTGCGGCTAAAGCTGCCTGCTTGGGATCACATGTCCGGTCGTCGTCCGCGCGACGCTAGCGCTCCCCTGAGGCGCCAACCCCGTCCATCCTTCTAACACGAGCCGCCTTGGAACCGGGAGCTAGGCGCTCGTCGAGGGTGCGTGATTGGATCCGGCAGCGAGGTTTTGAAAGGACCACTTCATTATTTGGAGTGGCCGGCCCCGGTCGGTCTCGACCACATTTCCATCGGACGATTTCCCCTTCCTGGTTAGGCCTGGAGGGCTTGATACACACAGTGCCTACGTTTCTCAATCACGCCCGCCTGCCGAGGTAGGTTGGTATTACCCTGGCATACGATTTGACGCATTGCTTCCAGCCCTTTGCGCCTGCTTTGCTTCAAATTGGGGTGCGTTTGCTGCTACAGGCTGGCATGTTTTGTGCTTGCCTGTCCCTCCCTTGATATTAAGTCGCGAGTACACCAAGAGTCAAATGTCTTTTAACACCCGAGCTGGGCGCTCCTACCATAGGTTCATTTAAGAGATACTGACGGCAGGCTAGCAGCCACTGCACCTTCGTAGCACCACAAGCTGTGCGGTACTGCGCCGTGGTGAGTGGTGAATCCCGCGGCTAGGGCTTCTTCAAAGCAGGCTCTTCCTCGCCGAGGGTTGGGCTTTGTTATAACTAAAGAATATGTTACACCTGTCGACTATAGATAAATGGATATTTGTTTACGTGTACATCCAGTTCATTTCCCATGCCCGGGGTTAGCATACAAAGCTACTGTAATAGGCATATCACTTGACTGGCGCGGGGCGATCCGGACAAACCGAAAACACCACCTCAACGTCCATTCCATGGTAGGCGGTGTCGCAATGGGCGGTGTCGATGCTCGATCATACAGGGATAGTCATGGGTAAAAAGGGGAAGCATGCTCTTCCTGTAAACATTCAAGGGCTTTGTCCAACCACCTTCTTTCTCTGCTTTTTATCGACACATTACTCTTATATTATTCTGGTTACCGCATGCGTCCCATTTCATATTCTTCGCCCCTACTTTCTCCCACGGCTTTGGAGCGACTGCTTGTAGCGTTGTCGCTGCTGCTATTATCCCGCGAGTGGTACTCGACTTTCACCTCCTGGGTGTGAATGATGCGGTTGTCGTCTGGATGGAAAATACTGCGTTCCGACCAGTCGTCCCCGTGGATGTCGGCAGCCGACGGTCCTCCCGGGCCTAGACTTTTAGCGGCGAAGGGTCGGGAAAAGCTCCCGCTGGTTCGTCGCCCATAGCCGCTAACGATGGCTGTTTTGGTCCCCCCACCGTCGCCCGTGGATGTGTGGTTCTCGTAGCCGCGCGACTTGCTTAGGTTATGGCTCCCCGATGCCCCCGACGATCCGTAGTGGCGGCGCGTCGACTTCTTCACGTCGCGCACCAGCACGCGTAACACGGGGATGCAGGCGGCAATGATGGTCATGGCCACCTCACAGCTGCCCCAAACGACGAGCCCGAAGCCGTCGTAGGTGAAGTCACCCTTGGCCAGAGCAGGGATCTGGGCGGACTTGGCAAACGCGGTGGCGCCTGCACTGGAATTCGCGAGCGTTGGCTGTTAGTTATATGTAATGTGATGGGTATCCTCGATGCCGGGGGTTCAAGGGAGGGAGGAGGCACGAACAATACTCCTGCGCTCATAGCCACAGCCACGCCAATCTTCTCTGCCAGCTTCATCTGTAGCCCCCAAATGACCGTCCACGGCAACATGGCCAGGGTAATGTCCATAACCCCCGAGTAAACGCCCGTGAAGATGCTAAAGTTGGCGTAGCCTTCGCGCCAACATGTGCCTGGCAGCTGGTCGCCGCCCCACACCTTCTCGGTTGGATTGCACTGGAAGAAGGCCAGGATTGCGGTCAAGGTCATGGTTATGTTGATGGTAACAATAATGACCCAAATGGTAATTTTGAGCCACCTGGACTCGGCAACGCGCAGAAGGGTGAGGGCGAAGGATGATTTGGACCAGACGGCGCTGAGGATCGAGAAGGTGCCAGCGATGTAGCTGTTCCGGCCAATGTCGCTAATTTGCATCGGGTCGGCGGGCTTGAAGACGAGGTCACAGAGATGGCGTCCGAAGCCTCGCCTAACATTACTGTTTAAAATAATGCCGGCAATGAGCAGGAATATCTAGCGGCGAGCACGCAAAAAGGAGTTAGCATCTTGATCCCGGAGTAAGGCAGGGAAGGGCAGTTTAACACGGAAGAGGACCACTCACCCATGTTATTGTCAGCAGCCAGTCATCCCACCAAAAGGTTCCTGACTTAATCCACTTGCAATAAAGCCGCAGCGACAAAAACAAAAACGCGATTCCAACCAAAACCCAGGTAATGGTTTCTGACAGCGGGCCCACGTTGTCGGCCGCGCATACTCCCGTCACAGGGTCTTGCCCTGGCAGTAGCGGGATCGTGTCGTTGCGGCTCATCGTTCTTTTGCCGATCCGGGACCGAGTTGGGCTGGGAAAAGATGCGGAAAGCCAAGAAAGGACCAATGGGGAACCGGCGCGCGGGAGTCTGTCCTCGGTAGGCGGATCGCGGACGTGTAAATGGAACAAGCGCTAGGTTAGGGGGCCGCCCCTGGCAGCGCCGATCTTTTGCTTCTCACTTCGCTCGTGGGTGCAAAATAACCAAGGCGTCGAGACGAAAGCCATAGTGTAAAAAGAAAAATGAGCGGGAAGCGGGCGGCATTGCGTTATGTATCCCAGTAAATAATCAGTACGCTGGGTTAGCTCGCAGGCCCGGACAGGACAATGGGAACGAGCCCAAACATCCTGGCGGCGCAGTTGGTGGTGTGGATAACTGCCCTTGCAGCCAGGGGTTGCAGCTCGGTAAAGCGGCTAGCGATCGCGTGAGCAGGGGAGGAATTTAACCAATAGGCACCGTCGCCAGGCCGTAGGGTCCCATCCGAACATGTTCCATCTCTGCTTCAACTCGTTGTGCCAGGGATAATGGGCGGACGCCAAGGGCGGTGGGTTCGACAGGGCCAAGGGTAATATTACAAAAGAGCCAATGGCAGGAGGAGGATAAATGCGCCACGTCGCCGGGATACAACTTGGTCCTTTTAACCCAAATTGCGGAATTATGTAAATCGATGCAGGGGCGAACTCGATTCTCCCATGGCCGGTCCTTGCTGCTTGTAAAAACCTTTTTTCAGCCGCGGGACGAAGGGCCGGGACCAATCTCGCCAGGACAGCATTGTTGCAGTGCAGGATGCAGTTTTTAGTGTTTCGGTTGCTTTCGAAGCATGCATAGCTAAAAAAAAAAGGTTTAACTTTTATTGCTATAAATGTAACCATGTGCTGGTCGATGTTGCTGCAAATTTATTTTTGTTCTTCGGTTTAAGCTTAAGTTTTAAAGCTTAATGCTACGGTGCATACTTAAATATTAAGGAAAGGCTTGTTGCACGAAAAGGAAGTTATTTAAACAAAGCGCTTTTAGCGCTTTGTGTTACGGGACGCGCTGGGACACTTAAGGAAAAACCTGAAGCTGCACCTTTAACGCGCTAACGCTACGCTTATAAAACCGCAACAAAGCGCCAAAAGCGCTTTATCCAAATAGCTTCTTTTTCGTGCAATAATAAAGCCTTTTCCATAATACTTAAATGTGCACCGTAGCAATTTATTGCACTTTAAATTTTCGAAACCTAACATTAATTAAAAAGCAAGTTTGCTTTTAATTACTGTTGCAAGCAGAAGTTATAAGCACAGTGTAAGGTTATTCCGGTTAAATTGCTTTAAAGAGGAAAGGATTTAAGGTGCAGGGCTCCGTAAGAGCCTTTGCCCTTTTATATACACGTGACTCCCGTGTCCTCCTTGCTTACTAAGCTTCCCTCTTGATGCCTGGAAGCGTTATACGCTTTCAAGCAAAGGGACCGCTCTTCCAATGCTTTAAGCATCTGCTATTTACGCTTGAAACCTCTCCTTTACAGTATATACTGTCTTCTTTGTAACAATTACGTTCCGTCCTTTTTTTTTGCTAACAATTAACGTACTTTCGCCGAAACCTCCGTAAAACGGTAGTAACCTTTTTGTTTGTAATTAACTTAGCGTTAATATTTGCCCCAGTTTAAACCTTACCGTATAATTTCGAAAAAGTACATTTTTACGTTTTTAATTTATATTTTTAAACTTGTTACAGTTAGGCTTTTGCTTTTAAAGTAAGGCATTAAAGGAGTATTAAGCAGTAGCACGTAACTTAACAATTAAAGGGATTTACAAAGTATTTTAAATGCGATTTAAATGCTTGCTCCAAAGGTTACTTGGAAGTTAACTTAAATTGATTAATGCTAATGCTGTTGGAACAGCATTGCGGTGCGCGTGCAATCCGGAAAGGGAGGTTATTACAAAAAGCTTTAAAATCCTCCGGATCCCGCACGGGCCAACTTTATCTGCTTTAAGCAGAGCAGGGAACCACCCTTTGGGTAATTTTTTGTGCGCATATAAAGGGCAATCCTATGCCCTTTTTTTGGCAGATAAATTCCTTCCTCGGTATGCACAATAATAGGATTTTCCCTAAATCATTAAAATCGTTGTTTACTTTTACCAGGAAATTTCCGAACCTTAAAACAAAAGTACCAAATTTTTACCAACATTAATTAGTATTGCTCGAAAGGCAATACAAAACGGTTAAGTAAAGGATTTAGCGCTAAATTACCCGTTAAAATCTTTTAATCGAAAGGAAAGTTAGCAAAAAATTTAGGAATAAAAGAATACTTTTTCCCCGCTCGATAACGTATTTGCTAAGCAAATAAATTCCTTTTTTTTTTAGCCCGCGCTGTTTAGCAATTAAGTTAAAACCAATTAAAAAAAACTTACAAATTTAAAAAAAAACGTTATGTAATTCCCGAAATGGATTAAATTTTTAGTTTTTAAGCTTTCGTAAGCTTTTGGATTAAAAGATTACCTAAAGCAAATTTGTTCGTTTACCCACCAAAAAAACAATTACAAGTTTTCCTAACAAGGCTTTAACAATTAAACAAGCATTACCAACAAAATGTTTGCAGCACAAAAAGCAATTTTTAAAAATGATTCCGATTAAAAAAAACCTATTTTACGGAAAAAATTACAAAGTTATTTAAGGACCTGGGCTTTCCCCAAAACTTTATAAACATTTGTAACGAAAAGCTTTTTCAATAAGCAAATTACACCTTAAAAAAAGCATTCCAAACCGTTTCCAACGATCGAATCCAAACTTAAATCCTTAAATTTATGCTCGAATACCGCTATTACAGCGGTAAACTTTTTTTTTCCGCTTTCCTTAAAAACTTTAACGGTTTAAGCTTGGCACGCTTAAAATACTTTAATAAAAAGGCCTTAAAAGCATTCGTTAAATTTTTAACAAATTGAAAAATTACCGTTTCCGGCAAAGCAAACCTAAAGGGCTTAAAAAAACTAAACCTGCTAATAACCAATATAAATAACGCCCAAAACCTGGCATTCGGGGAAGCAGCAAAACTTTTAACGTTAAATTGCTAAAACAAAAGCAAAGCGCCGGAAATTGCATCCCCATTTGCAAAAATTTCGGTACAAATTAAGGCCCGCAACGAAAAAGCTACCGAAAAGCGGTTAACCGAAAATCTTTAAAGCGAACGAATACGAAAGCTCGAACGCAATAAGTACGAAACCAAAATTTAGTTTCAAAATTAGCCTTATTTCCCGGTACCCCGGCAAAAACAGCCATTTCCAAATTACCGTTTTTTTAATCCTTTTAAGCAACAAACCAAAAGTTAGCTTTTTACCAAAAAAAAACCTACTAATTAAACGGAATCCATTTTTATAACTTACCAAATGTTACAGTCAAGCCTCTGCTCTTAAGGTAAGGCACCAGAGGAGTATCGAATAGTAGCACGTAACTTAACAGTTTAAAGGGATTCATAAAGTAATTTGGGTGCAGGTTTGAATGCTTGCTCCAAGGGTTACTTGGAAGCTAACTAAAGTTTAATTAATGCAAAAGCCCTAGTTAAAAATTACTTAAAACAATAAAAAACCTTTCCTTTTTATAGCCCGTTTTTTATGCTATTCCTATCCTTTCCAAGGTGGTAATTTGTAATTTTGTCGATAAGTTACAAATTACTTAAATAATTTGTAACCTTATTAATAAATTACGGGCGGCTTACCTAAGCTTCCTTATGGTAAGGGGTAAGCATTTGCTTGCCCCCCGCCTTTTTAGCCTCCCGTTCCGGCCGGGTAGTTATTGGTCGTAACATTAAGTCCCCTCTCCACCGGCCAAGCCCTTTTAGCTTGTTTATGTCCGTTCTTCCCATTGCCAATCGTAAGTATTATTTTTCCTTACTATTTAACCGTCCCTTTTTTTTAATAATGTTAGGTTAAGTACAAAAACGTTTTGCGCGTTTAACTTTTTAACGCAAAAACCTTTTTGCTTTGGTTTTTGCATTGGCTATCGATATAAATTCTTGTTTTTTTTATCGGAACGTTTTTAAAAAAGATATTTGTTTTGTTTTTCCGCAAGATTTTTTTCGTTGCGTGGAATGTTTCGTTCGCAACCGTTTTGGCTACGACATTTTAAGCCTTTTATTTAAATAATTGCGTTTTATTGGTTTTTAATACCAAAAGATTAAAGCCAAAGTGCGGGTTATCGAAACGGAACGTTGTGCTTTAAATAACCGTTTTAAGCATTTTCGCAAACAAAAGGACCTTTGGTTTAAAAAGCAATTGCGGGCGTTGTTTTGGGGTATTAAAACCGTAAAGGAATTGGAATAAGTAAAACGGGCGGAACGGGAAAAGGCCGTTTTGGTAACGGCTAGCCCCTTTTCCTTTTTTCAATTTAATTTTTTTCCTTTATTTTTTAATTGGGCAGCGTTAAAGGTTAATCTTAATTTTAACCCGCTGGCCCTTTTTTAACCGGGTAAGTTGTAATTTTTTTAATAATTCCTTTTGGTTATATAGCGCAATGGTAGCGTGCTTGCTTTTGTAACAAAAGGTTTTAGGTTTAATTTCCGGTACAATTTTAGCAGCTAACCGGGCAATCCATACCTGGTTAGTTATTAGCTTTTTTTTTGCTAATCCCGAAAGTTTAATATTTGGTATCGATTTTAAATTGCTTGCCCTTTTTTAATTTAATAAATTGTAATTTCCTTAATAATTTTTACAAGTTGTATAGCGCAATGGTAACGCATTTGTTTTTGTAACGGAAGGATTTGGGTTCGATTTCCGGTGCAACCATTAATTATTGCATGGAACGTTTCCGTCGGGAACGTCCCATGCAATAATTGTACTTTTTTTTTTGCTTAAGCTTGCTAGCTTATCCTTTAAATATGCTGTGGGATTTTCCTTTTTTTGCTTATTAAATTCCTTCGAATTTAAAGCGTTTTATAAATTTTAAAGCTATTGCTAACTTTTTTTTAAATAATATTTTTGCAAAGCTTTTTAGCAATTCCTAAAATTTATTGTATTTTTTTACGTATTGTGCTTATCCCTTTATCCTTCCCACTTAATAAAGTACTGTTTTTTGCGGTAATACGTTCGTTCGTTAAGGATGGTTTTAACTTTTTACTTTTGGTTAGGGTCGATTTCCATTAATTCGGTGCTTTTAAAGCTTAAAAGCGCTAGTTTTAGCAAAAAAACGTAAAAAACCGGGTAAATGCGCATGGTTAGTAATAATTGGAATTTGTAATTAATTGGAAAAACAATACGAATAACCCGAAAAGGTCCTTATCTTTTCCTGTCCAACTTGTTGCTTGGCCTTTTTATTTTAATATTAGCGCGTAAAAAGTAAGCGTTATCCCCTTTTTTAAAAGTCGGTTTTTCGATCCTTTTTTTATTGGCTTGTTTTGCTATCCGATAGCGC